GAGGTCCTCCGCACTCCCGAGCTTCCCTTCAGTCAGTGGAACGCCCAGTTCGCTGCGCTGCACAGCCGTATGCCCCAGAAGCTTGACGCCCAGTTCACTCAGATCGTCGACCGCGCCAAGAGCCGTCATGCAGACTTCCCCGCCAAGGCATTGGCCAAGGCCTTCCAGAAGTTCCTCGAGGACAACGTCGCTGCTGGCGATGCTGACATGCTCAAGACCACCCTGGCCCCCTTGACAGATGTCTTGAACGCATACTCCGAGGGAGTCAAGGCCCACGAGTTGACCGTCATCAAGGACCTCTTGGCCTCGTACATCGAGATCGAGCGCCTGTTCACTGGTTACGGAACCCAGGAGGACAGCGTCATCCTCAAGCTGCGTGACCAGAACAAGGATGATATCCGCAAGGTTGTTCAGACTGTTCTTTCTCACAGCCGTGTTGGTGCCAAGAGCTCGCTGATCCTCGCCATCCTCGAGGAGTACCGTCCCAACAAGCCCAACGTCGGAAATGTCGCCAAGTACCTCCGCACTGCCCTGCAGCAGTTGACTGAGCTTCAGTCCTCCCGCACCACCTCCAAGGTCTCTCTTAAGGCCCGTGAGATCATGATCCAATGCTCTCTGCCGTCCCTTGAGGAGCGTACCGCCCAGATGGAGCACATTCTCCGCTCTTCCGTCGTGGAGTCTCGCTATGGTGAGGCCGCCTGGGACCACCGTGAGCCCAGCCTGGAGGTCATCAAGGAAGTTGTTGACTCCAAGTACACCGTCTTCGACGTCTTGACCCTCTTCTTCGCTCACGAGGACCCTTGGGTCTCTCTCGCTGCCCTCGAGGTTTACGTTCGTCGTGCCTACCGTGCGTACATCCTCAAGCAGATTGAGTACCACTCCGATGAGACCGATACCCCTCTCTTCTGCACCTGGGACTTTGCTCTCCGCAAGATCGGCCAGAGCGAGTACGGACTGCCCCTTCAGTCCGCCGCACCCTCCTCTCCCGCTACTCCCAGCGGCAGCGGCGGCTCGTTCGACTTCAAGCGCATCCACTCCATCAGCGACATGTCCTACCTCAACCACAAATGGGACTCTGAGCCTAACCGCAAGGGCGTCATCGTGCCCGTCAAGTACCTCGATGACGCCGAGGACTTGCTCGGAAAGGCTCTCGAGACCTTGACCGTCTCCGAGAAGGCCAGGAAGCGCAGCACTCCCGGTCTCATTCCTGATCTGAGCGGCAAGCGCAAGCCTGCTGCCCCCAAGGTTGATTCTGATGAGCTTTCCGCTGTCATCAACGTTGCTGTCCGCGACGCCGAGAGCAAGAGCGACCAGGAGATTCTTTCTCGCATTGTTCCCATCGTCGAGCAGTTCAAGGAGGAGCTTCTCAACCGCAACGTCCGCCGCATCACGTTCATCTGCGGTCGCAACGATGGTGCCTACCCCGGCTACTACACCTTCCGTGGCCCCGAGTACGTCGAGGATGACAGCATTCGTCACAGTGAACCCGCTCTTGCTTTCCAGCTTGAGCTCGGAAGACTTGCCAAGTTCCACATCAAGCCCGTCTTCACTGAGAACAAGAACATCCACGTCTACGAGGGTGTTGGCAAGGCCGTCGACGGTGACAAGCGTTACTTCACTCGCGCTGTCATTCGTCCCGGCCGTCTCCGTGACGAGATCCCCACTGCTGAGTACTTGATCTCTGAGGCCGACCGCGTTATCAACGACATCTTTGACGCTCTTGAGATCATTGGCAACAACAACTCCGATTTGAACCAGGTCTTCATCAACTTCACCCCTGTGTTCCAGCTTCACCCCCAGGAGGTTGAGAGCAGTCTGCAGGGCTTCCTGGACCGCTTTGGAGCTCGCGCTTGGCGCCTTCGTGTCGCCCAGGTGGAGATCCGTATCATCTGCACTGATCCCGATACTGGCGTCCCCTACCCTCTGCGTGTCATCATCACCAACACCTCTGGATACGTCGTTGATGTTGACATCTACGCTGAGCGCAAGTCTGAGAAGGGCGAATGGGTCTTCAACAGCATTGGCGGTACCAAGGAGAAGGGTCCCATGCACCTGTTGCCCGTCTCTACTCCCTATGCTACCAAGAACCCTCTGCAGCCCAAGCGTTACAAGGCTCACCTGATGGGTACCCAGTACGTCTACGATTTCCCCGAGCTCTTCCGCCAGGCCATCCAGAACAGCTGGACCCAGTCGGTCAAGAAGCATGGCGCACTGGGTGCTCAGCAGCCCAAGTCTGGCGAGTGCGTCTCGTACACTGAGCTCGTCTTGGATGACAAGGACACCCTCCAGGAGGTTAACCGCGAGCCCGGTACCAACACCTGCGGTATGGTTGGTTGGATCTTCAACGCCAAGACCCCTGAATACCCCAAGGGCCGCAAGTTCATTGTTGTTGCCAACGATATCACCTACATGATCGGTTCTTTTGGCCCCAAGGAGGATAACTTCTTCTACAAGTGCACCGAGCTCGCTCGTAAGCTTGGCATTCCCCGCATCTACCTGTCTGCCAACTCTGGTGCCCGTCTCGGCGTCGCCAATGAGCTCATGCCCTACTTCAAGGTTGCGTGGAACGATGCCAACAAGCAGGACAACGGCTTCAAGTACCTCTACCTTGACGATGAGGCCCAGAAGCGCTTCGCCAAGGACGTCATCACCGAGGAGATCTCCGAGGATGGTGAAAAACGCCACAAGATTGTCACCATTGTCGGTCAGGAGGACGGTCTTGGTGTTGAGTGTCTGAGAGGATCTGGTCTCATCGCTGGTGCGACGAGCAAGGCCTACAATGACATCTTCACCATCACCTTGGTCACTTGCCGGTCCGTCGGTATTGGTGCCTACCTTGTCCGTCTTGGTCAGCGTGCTGTCCAGATTGAGGGCCAGCCCATCATTCTCACTGGTGCCCCTGCCTTGAACAACGTTCTTGGTCGCGAGATCTACACCTCCAACCTGCAGCTTGGTGGCACTCAGATCATGTACCGCAACGGTGTCTCCCACATGACCGGTACTGATGACTTTGATGGTGTTTCCAAGATTGTCGAGTGGATGTCCTTCATCCCCGAGAAGCGTGGCAGCCCCATCCCTGTCAGCCCCAGCACCGACGGCTGGGACCGCGATGTCGTCTACACGCCTCCTCAGAAGCAGGCTTATGATGTCCGCTGGATGATTGGCGGTCACCCCACCGACAACGGTGGCTTTGAGGCCGGTCTCTTCGACAAGGACTCTTTCGTCGAGACTCTCGGCGGCTGGGCCCGTACCGTCGTCGTCGGTCGTGCTCGTCTTGGTGGTATCCCTATGGGTGTCATCGCCGTCGAGGCCCGCTCCGTTGAGAACATCACTCCTGCCGATCCCGCCAATCCCGACTCCATCGAGCAGATTACTAACGAAGCTGGTGGCGTGTGGTACCCCAACTCCGCCTTCAAGACCGCTCAGGCCATAAACGACTTCAACAATGGTGAGCAGCTGCCTTTGATGATCCTCGCCAACTGGAGAGGTTTCTCTGGCGGTCAGCGCGATATGTACAACGAGGTCTTGAAGTACGGTTCCTACATCGTCGACGCCCTCGTCAAGTACGAGCAGCCCATCTTCGTCTACATTCCTCCCTTCGGAGAGCTTCGCGGTGGTTCTTGGGTCGTCGTCGACCCCACCATCAACCCCGAGGCCATGGAGATGTACGCTGATGTCGATGCTCGCGGTGGTGTCCTCGAGCCCGAGGGTATCATCGGTATCAAGTACCGCAAGGACAAGCAGCTTGAGACCATGGCTCGCCTTGACCCCGTCTACGCCTCTCTTAAGAAGCAGATGACTGCCGATCTGCCCAAGGAGCAGGCCGACGAGATCAAGAAGAAGATGACCATCCGCGAGAAGCAGCTCCTGCCTGTCTACTCCCAGGTTGCCATCCAATTCGCCGACTTGCACGACCGTGCTGGTCGCATGAAGGCCAAGGGTGTCATTCGTGACCAACTGGAGTGGGTCAACTCCCGCCGCTACTTCTACTGGCGTCTGCGCCGTCGTCTCAACGAGGAGTACCTCCTCAAGCGCATGTCGTCGACCGTCCTCACTTCTACCCCCGGCAACGACAAGTCCAAGGCTCCCGAGACCCGCAGCCGCAACCTCCAGCTCCTCGAGAGCTGGTCTGGTGTCGTCAACTTCTCCACTGCCGATCGTGAGGTGGCTGAGTGGTACGAGGCCAACCGCAAGTCCGTCACTGACAGAATCGAGACCGTCAAGGCCGACAACCTGGCAGCTGACCTCAGCTCTGTCCTGAGAGCAAACAAGAGCGCCGCCATGCGTGGTGTTCGCGACGTCATCCGCACGATGCCGCCTGAGGAGCGTGACCAACTCCTCAAGTACCTGCGCGACTAAATACATACGGAGGATGGTCAGCGTAACGTTTATGGGTGGTGTAAGGGTATAATTGGGGTTTAGACATGTTTTTCTGGGATGATTATGACTATGTATGAGCATTATTTCGCAATTGTGTTAAGATAGATTTCAATGTTGGGAAAATACTCCCCTTAATGAACCTCCCCGTCTACCATGCATGTGGTTGTGAAGCTGAGTTGGGCATACTGATGCGATGCATCGTCTAGGCCTGAATGATGCGATGGCTACATGACCATTGACGTCGTAAGTTCACACAGCGTCGCTGCGTGGCTTCTGTTCAGTTGTATCCCTACTCATCACTTGTCGAGGGAGATGTAACTCGATGCTTCAAGTACAAAGCTTGCTGGATCCCGACTGGGCATTCTTGGCTACGGCAAGATGGTGTCGCACCTCTTTCGCATTAACTAACTAACGCACTCATGACGTACAGACCAAAACAAAACTCCCAACGCCTAGAAGAACGAAATCTTTTGATACGCCCCGGCCTCGTTGCTCTCAAGTAGCCCCTACACCTCTCAACCTACATTCCGTATAGGCTATGCGCTTAGATTTGCGCTTAGCCCTGGCCCTCCTTGCTACGGCATATGGATCGCAAGGTACCTATTTAACACACCGAGAACCCCCCCCCCCCCTAAACACAACCCAGCCATGCCTCCAGAGCCTCTTGGATTTCCCCGGCCGCAAGTGTTATCTCTGGCATTCATTGCTTGCGACCTCGAGGGCTGGAGGCATGTCTAATTCCCCAATCAACCGCCTATACGAAGTACCTTAGTGTTGATTTACATCGCCCGGCGTTTAGGCTGCCGCTCTCCGTCCATCGACGACGGCGTATTCGCCGGCGAAGGACTCGGGATGCCGCCGGGTGTCAGGGGAGGCTGACTTAGGCGAGGATCGTAGATGTTGGAGATTGTGGCGTACGATCTCTTTTGGCCTGAGGCTGGTCCAAGCCCGGCCATTCTGGTTTGCGTTGGAGGCATGCCAGGCATACCTGAAGCCATCTGCGGTCTTGAGGCCATCTGTGCCTGGCTTTGTTCCCATATCTTGCTGTTGAAGAGGGGCTGGGGCTGGATCTGGGGCTGCGGCTGCAGCTGGGGCTGGAGGAAGGTATTCCCAGTCGAGGGCCAAGGGGAGGTAGGACCGGCCATGGGCGAGTTTAGTCCCGTATGTTGTGACGGCGCCGCCGTGTTCGCCATGTAGACCGGGTTCATGTATCCCTGCTGAGACAGCATGCCATTCGACGCGTGCCTGAATGTGCGTGGCGTCCGTATCTGAGGCATCACCGGACTGGGCACATAGCCGTTCTGGGGTGGCATACCCTGAGGCAACACGCCCTGAGTCGGCATGCCCCGATATGGCGTCTGCGGGCTCTGAAAGAAGTTGGTGAAGCTACCGGATGCTTGTTGAGGGGCCTGGGGACTGGCTGTGGTGCAGAACTGTGGTGGGGTGTTCTGGTATGGGGTACCCAGAGACGACATTGTCCAGGTCCCGGGCGAAGATGACATGTTCTGGGGCAACATGTTTGGAGTCGCCATACCTTGGGACGCCATGCCTTGAGACGCCAAACCCTGGAGACGCGCGATCTGAGGTGACATATTTTGATATGCCACGTACTGAGATGGCATGCCCTGCGACCCTGTAGCCTGGGCCGACATCGCAAGAGACATCCCCTGACCCCCGCCGTTGGGCATATTGTTGCCCATGCCCATCGCCATGGTATTCTGGCCGACGTATGTAGGAACAGGTCTCTGAGAGACCTGGGGAGAGGCTGTATATCCATTCTGAATCGGCATGCCTCCAGCTGGCATCATTGGACGCCGCTGCTGGATATTCGGCCGCCTATAGCCTTCGAACCTCGACGTGTTCATGGAAGGGCGGGGGCACTGGGATGCCGCTCTGACTGATGCCGCGTGGACGGGGGTGGGGGACGCCGTCGGCGTGGCACCGCAGCGGAGAGTCTGCGCTCGAAGCGCTCTCAGGGTCGCTTGGTTTGGACCGCTCAGGGTAGGTCTCATGTGCTGCGGGACCGCTGGGTAGCTGGCGGGTGTCTTGTTGCCCATTGCCATAGTATTCTGGGCGGGATATGTTGGACCCAGCTTATGAGAGGGTTGAGGAGTGGGTTCTAATTGCCCCTGCTCTCGCTGCTGCTGCTGCTGCTGAGGTGGCGCTTGTGTTGGGAGGATGAGGAGAGATGCTTGTTCGCTCTTTGTGTCGGCGGGAGGTGTATGGGAATTTCCTTCTTTGACGGGATTCTCAGGGGTAGGTTGAGAGAGAGGGGGGCTTGGGAGGTGAACTCCTGTTGGGAGACAGATGGAATGATGATTCCGGATGAGCCTCATGTCAGGAGTCGGGGGACATGAAGCACCGCCGAACAGACTGTCCAAGTCGTTGTCGGTAGCTTCGTCTACCTCGACGTCTACCTCGGGCTTGGGGATGCTGGCGGATATCCTCTCTTCGACATGCTGGGCTTCTTCGGGAAAGGTTGGTGCTGGCTGAAGTTCAAGCTCTCCAGTCGCCACAGGTTCGAAGTGTTGCGGCATCTCAAGGCCTTCGTCGTTGTTGGACTCAGAACCGGAGTCGTCTGAGATGGCCACGATGCTAGCATGGTCTTCACCTCCAGACTCGACAGGATTAGCCTTATTTGCCAAGACCACAGTCGCCTTCTCAGCGTCGTCCTCCTCCTTGCTCCATTGGCCAAGGACCAACGACAACTGTCGGTCCATGTATTTTCCTCTTTCGCGGATGCCACGACACATTTCGAGATCCCAAATCTCGCACGTGGGATTGAAGCATTTATAGACGCCGCCGTCAGTTTTGCGACGTTCTGTGTAGGCGAGGAGAAACTTTGAGAGACCAGGGCACAGTTCGCCAGTCTGGACGTATTTGGTGCAGTGACGGACCGTGTCTCTTGGCCAGTTGCATTCGCAAAGAACTTGGCCGGAAACGCACATTTTGGCGCTTGTGATGATTATTGGTGTGTGGTGGGTGTGATAATTCGACTACCTTATTGTCGATTGCTCAAGGATCGACAAGTTGACTTGTAGTATCGACCGTATATAGTCTGATTATAGACAGGATTGAATCGGGCCTGCCGCAGAGAATGATTGTGGGTGAAGTTTGGGTGGAAGTAATTCACAAGAACGGGTCCTGTAATATGAGAATTGGAAGAAGGCAAGACAGTAGCACTGTAATTAGAGGAATAGAATGAGTTGGTTGCAAGAAGGAAGGGGAGAAGAGGTCTGGGATAGAAGAGAAGGAAAAAGCTGAGAAGAAGAAGGTGAATCTGAGAGTACCGGAGATAGATTGGCTAAGATGGGAAGCCATGGAGTTGACCTTACGGCCTCAGAAGAAAAAGGGCGGCCACCTCGAGTGGGGCACCCATCTCCGATAGAGATGGTGAATGAGTTGCTATGTAAGGTACTATACGAATAAGTGAATGAGCAAGTACCGGAGATAGGTCCCGCTGGTGAATTGTAGGATAACCCTCAAGGTGCCTTCAGTGACTTCAGATGGATTCAACTTGGGTGACTACAACGCCTCTCCCGGTAACAACTGGAGATGAGTCCCTGCGGATCCAGTCTCTGGACCTTGAGGACTGGAGTTTCCGGAGATGAAACTGTGGCTGTCCTCGTCTTGAGCTAACATCTTGAAGTTGAAGCCTTTTGCTAACGCCACAGAGACAAGGTGGACTGCGACACTGCCGGGTGGGAACTGGACATTTTCCGAACGGCGATGCAATTACACGTAACTTGAAAGTTCACTGGGGATAAATCACACTGAGCCTATTCTGACCATCAAGGCTGTGAAGTCAGAAATGCTCTTTTCCGAAGCGCGTCTGCCACGTTGAAAGTAAAAAGAGCAACTCGAGAGTAGCAATACATTTGTGAGTGCAGTATCGTGACAATAGGAAGTACACACACCATCATTCGTTCGAATACTGTCATTAAGTCCGCCACCGTTTTGCGAATCATATCTTGCCTCGATCTCACAATCTCGTTGTGTAGGAGACATTGAAACATAGAACTCGCTCAAACCTCACACAAATCATACATAGCAAAATTTCGTCTCATGTTATCCCGACAAAGACTTTGGGGGATTGGTTGACCAGGGGAGTCCGCGCCTTTCTTCTAAAGAGACCCGGCCAATGCGAGGATCTCTTGTGCCGTCTCCTCAGATTTCTCAATGTTGACCCAATGGCCCGCCCCGGGAATTATGACCGACCCCCTCCAGCAATCAGATCGGACGCTCTCGCCGCTTTCCATGGCTTCAAGAGCGCCAGGAACCTGGTATGTACCCCAGTCGTGCGTCCCAGAAACGTACTTTGTCGGAATCGCTAGCTTTGTTCCCGCAAAACAGAGGAGGTCTGCAGACAAGGCCGGGTCGATGAGGACTCTGTACCACAACAAAGAAAGTCGGAACGTGTTTCGAGAGTATTCGTCGACATAGACCTGTAGCTCCGCGTCGGTAAGCCATGGTGTTTCGCTGAGTTTGGCTCGCACGTCGGCCGACTCTTGGGCCATGTCCAGCTCAATGTTTTCACGCATTGATAGGTCGGCCTTCATGACGTAGTAATGCGGCATGACGGAAATCTCTTGTGCCGTCCAGGATTCGAGGGGTCGAGGCTTGTTCAGACTGTAGTCTGCAGACTTGAGATGGAAGTATCCCCGAAGAAAGTCGTGCATTGGCTGGCCCGTGGGATGAGTCCATTCGTCAACTGCTCCTGATGAGGCGTTGTAGTACTTGTAATGCTTCCTTGGTGGCTCGAGCTTCAGTAGAGAGGATTGAATGTCGTTGTCAACTTTGGCCGTCTTTCCGCTATCCTCCTGTTTGGGACGAAGCACAGATGCTAATCGCGGTGCGACTCCAGTTCCAAAGGGCAGCTGAGGAGACCCCTTGAACGGATGCGCCATCAAGACCAAGGACTTGATCATATCTGGCCGCGTGATAGCGCACATGGAAGCTACGAACGCCCCGAGATCGTGCCCAACGAGAGTGTGAATGGTCTCGTAGCCGAGTGCATGAACCAAGGTAACCACATCCCGTAACGCTGTGAGAGGACGAACAGTCTCTTCGCCGATGGGTCTCAGATTGGCGTTATGCGTCCGGCCAAAGCCTCTCATGTCAGGGGCGACTGCATAGTACCCGGCCGCGGCGAGCTTCGGCATGACAGCACACCAGTCGAAAGATAAATTTGGGAATCCGTGAAGAAGTATAATCAGGGGTGGGGGACTTCCGGAGGGATCATCTACTGGGAAAGACTCGAGAATGTGGAACTTCAGGCCTACTGGCGAAGTGTCGACATAGCGTGAGGCGACGCCGCGAGGAAGATCCCATGCAGGCAGTTGTGCAGGATCCATCATGTTCAAGCAATTTGTCGGCCGGCGTGAGTCAATTTCTACGGTAAGGAGCAGCTATCCGTTAATAGAGCTCAAAAGACTTTGTTGTCTAAAAAATGTTGCGACGAGCGAGGGGTCAAAGAGGCTATTTTTCAATGTTCATTGATTAGGTATGTCGAAGCAGTCTTGCCTCGGCTATTGATAGGCTTTGGAGAAGTACGTCACGGGAGATCAGCCACAACTCATGCGGAGGAATTAAGAAGCCGATTACTCCTCAAGCGGCGCATCAACGGCGACTTACCATTTGAATTACTCAGCTCTGACATACTTATGCTTACTGTCCTTCAGATTCTGGGGTTCAGTGAACCACAATTGTATTGCTACCTACCGTGAATCTGCTGAAGTGAACCTTAGAACCGACAGCTTCCTCCTCCATAGAGTGCGCAAAGACACCAAAGATCGGCCCTGTCATCTCTCTCTCAACCAAGTCGGCAACTCGCGCTCTCCCCGCTTCATACCAATCTCCCGAGTCGTTCTCGCGATACAAAAATGTGTACTCCTGAGCACTTGCTTCCAGACGCATTCCAAGTGCTGTTGCGGATGTGTTGACTGGGAAAGTAACCAACTGAGTCTTGTCTTCTGATGTTGTCGTCACGTTGAACACCACTTCCGACGACTGAAAGTCAAACGAAAGAGAAACGTGGCGCGGTGCATCCTTATAGATGGCTAGCCCAGCCCTCACAGACTCTCCCCTGGAGGCTTTGGGAATGTTGAGAGTCACTGAAGCAGATGCATCGATAGATCTTTGTCGCTTGCCAACAAACGTGCTAGTACCCGTAGGCGTCGATAGCTTGCTAACACTGCACTGCAGTACCAAGTCCGTCTCGCCGCTGATGTGATACATCGCGAAGTCGGGGTCGCGGATGTATACGAGATCAACATTCGCCGGAGCCTCATGGATCAACGATTCATTGCCACCAACAGGGCCAGAAAGAATACGCCCAAACTGTAGCGCGGGTTGCTGGATCGTCGGCCATCCGTCTTCCGGCCAGTCAACCGCGGTCAAGAATGTTTCCCGGCCGAGCGGCGGACGACCATGCTCGTTGCGCACACCAAGAACCGCAGCCCACCAAGCGCCACTCCGGTCCTGGAAGAGTTCGCCATGGCCGGTATTCTGAATGTACTCGTCTGGTTTACCATCGGCGGTCATGATAGGGTTTGCATCGCAGGACTCGTAGGGGCCCCAAATATCCTTTGAGCGCCCAATACTCAACAGATGATGCTCAAAAGTGCCACCCTCGGCGACGAGAAGGTAATAGTAGCCTCCTCGCTTGTAGATATGAGGGCCTTCGGTATCATAGCGCGCGAAGCCGCCCCAGATCTCTCGGGTTTCGGTCAGAGCCTTGCCTGATACAATGTCGATCTCGAATTGTTTGATCGTACAGCTGGGCTGTTTAAGGCGATCTATCATCCAGCATCCCTGGACATAGGCACGGCCATCGTCGTCGAAGTACAGACTGGGGTCGATACCATTGAAAGAAAAATGAACAGGATCGGACCAATTGCCTGACCATATATCGGTAGTGGCGATGTAGAAGTTGTCCAGGGCGAAGGTGTCTTGATCGTGCGTAGCATTTGTGCAAATAATGTAGAAAGTGCCTTGGTGGTAGCGAATGGTTGGCGCAAAGAGACCGGCGCTAGCGACCATGATGTTCCCCGTATCGAGACTCATCACTGCTGTGCTCGCATGATTGAGGGAGATCTGCCCCTTGCGATTGATGGCATTGCCTTGCCGTATGTCAGCAAATATGTTCATTGAGCCGAAGTCCGCCTGGTTTACCTACCAATATGCCTCCAGTTTTGAAGGTCTGTTGAGGCGTAAATGGGTAGCCCAGGAAAGACATGGAAAGACGAAGTGACCAGAAAGAAGACACCATCAACGAAAACGACCGAGGGATCTGGTGCGAACCCAGGCGCAATTGGGTTGCTGTATGTGTGCTTAGCCGCCATCGTTGCAACTACCTAGACCTTTGACAGATAGGATGATTGACAGCTGAAATCTGAACTGTCTTGAGGCAAACGCATGTTTATGGTCCTAGCAACTTCAAGTTTATAGCCACATGCCTTTCCGATGTGGTAACGTCTGATCAACTTTTGAGGATCTGGGCCCGAGATGGAGAAGTGAGCCAATTCGCCGCGGAGAATTGCAGACCACACCATTACCCCGATCCGAATTGCCGACGAACGCCCTCCCCACGTTATGACTCGCGATCGTTGCTCAGCTCGTCTGATATTCTCGAATCTAGCCGGGCTAGGATGTCCAACAGCGTGCCAAAGAGAGATCTAGCACGAGTGGATATGGCCTCGTTGCCGACGTTGTGCATGATTTCGAGCAAAGCCACGCCGACTTGCCGGAGCTTTTCGACCTATTCAAAAGTCAGACCTTTGGTATGCCTTTAGCTAGAATCTCAAGAGGATTTCTTTACACAAGGTTCCCCGTTGGCTTGTAATGCCTCAAAAGGGATGTCCGACACAGCCTCCAAGAGATCGCTCGCTATCTCGACTTTGCGCATCGCAAGCATCACTGGGTCGTCTGTCAGCCCTAGAACCTCGATGGAGCCTCGCTCAGCAAAACGATTAAGAAGGACCAGGCGCAACGTGTGGAAGGTGACAAATAAGTTGGCTTTCTGAATGGATATTGCCCTGATTCGGAACTGGGATGTCGCCTCGCTGGGTGTTCCCGGGACTGCAGTTTTGGGATCACGAACCCAAGTTGGACAATAACGGAGAATATTGGTAAAGTCGAAGTATAACTGCATGGTAGATTTCTTCAGATCTGATGCATCATTTGAAGTAGCCGAGCTCAGCGACCCAATTTTGCCGCGTAGTCGTGACAGGAAGTTCAAGTCGACGAGCATTTCAGAAGCCGTATACCAAAGTTGGAAGCATAAGTTGAAACATAGACGCAAACGTCGCTCAAAATTAGCAGTCTCGGGTTCCGGGCCGGCCTGAATGAGTTTGCAATCCTCAGACTCCTCGAATATAGTAGTAATGGGACTATCCAGACAGATCTGATGGAGCGAGATGGGAACTTTGTTCAGAATTGAGGCGGACTTGTCCCCAATGTAGAGATGCCAGAAGGTGTTTCTTCTCAACTGAGCCTCGGGCCACCCGAGATTGCGAAAAGATTCCTCGTCATACAATCGCATCTCCTGCACGAGTCGTAGTGCCTCTCCCATAGCATGCCACGACACACTGGTCTTTCCGAGGGCATGTAAGGCGTTGGAGTGGAAGTAACGGATGATGATTGAGCTCGACTCCGGGTGTTCAATATCGTAGTCTTGATAAAGTCGAAGAGCCTCTCGCGACGTTCTGAGGAACGGCATCGCGAGTGCTGCGCCACCAGGAAATATCTCGGATGGCAAAGTAGAAGAGACCACTGCGCAGAGGGCCGTAAGGAGCGCAAATGCCCGGATGGTTGGAATGCCTGAGTTGGAATGGCTCGTTGCCGGGTCACTGGGTAGCGAAATTTCCCTCCGGAGAATTGGAACCACGGCATGCAACATTTGTCGAACCATTGGTTCGCAGATGATGGGGCTGGTCGGAAACTCCCATTGCATGTAAAGATCAATGCAGGAAGATAGGACGTCTTCTAATGGGACATATGGTAGGGCCTTCCCCAGAGCTGGGAGAAGATCGGTAACGGCTGCGTCGAATGGAGCATGGGCGGAATTCTTCTGACGGGTAGGGCAACTGAGAGCTTGGTTGTAGTTTGATAGATTGGCAACAAAGGAGTCTGTAACTTGAGAACTCCCTGAGATAGACTCTTCGCCACTCGGCCGGTTATATTTTGTCTGAGTTGTGGTCTGGTCTGATTTTTGAGCTCGAAAGGGCGGCCCCCGTTTCTTCGCCGGAACGGTGTATGCGCAAGTCATGGATGACATTAGACAATTTGAGCATTGCGGGCTCTGCGCATCGCACTGCAACATGTCGCATTTAGCCTGGGTTTGGCGGTAAGTCGCGACTGGGTTGCCATACCTTGACCTTCCGCCGCCTACACCCATCGCAAGATCGTTTCGTCATTGAACCAAGTCGCTGGGTATGGAAATCTGAGTGCTTGTCCAAGGAGCATTCAGCAATTCTCCGATGCGCCGAGGAAAGTGTGAGAAGGGGAGGAATTGCCAGACCAACTCATTCCGTTGCCAGGATGCGGGCAGAGACCAACACTAAATAATTCGCCGCGGCGAATTAGCTTAACCATTCACAGCCATTCCGCGCAATGGGTCTGCGGGGGTAGCATTGTGTTGTGGGGTAAGAGACTCTGAGGTGGGCGTAACGCATGGGGAAACATGTGGTTTCGGTGTCTGTGATCTGGACGCAGGATTAACCCCGGATCAGAGTGTAATCTAGTTTACAAACTGGAGCTATAAGTAATCGAGGCTTTTCCTGATGGCTTCAGTTTCTTTCTCGTCAATTTCAGGGCAACTCAGGGAAGGCATCGCTCATTCGCAAACCTGAGCACTCTTCTTCTATCTTGGGCTTTCTCTCGAGGAACTGGTTATTACATTTCGCAACTTGGAGACGAATTGAATTCAAACACAATGGCAGTGGTCTCAGAAAAGCCCGCAGGCTTCGCTGAGCTTTCCAAGAACAAGAGGGTCTTGGCCTGGTGTAAGTACTGCTCACGACTGATCATCTTCCTAGCAGGAACCGAGTCTGACCGCACCCCATCAACAGGCCTCCTAATCTTTATTCTACCCATCAACTTTGGGTATGAGCTCGCACTCGTCGGCAACATCCTCGCGATCCCTGCCTTCCTCGACCGCTTCGGAACGACCACGACCTCCGGCATCAAAGAGATTCCGGCTCACGACCAGCAAATCCTCAATGCGTCAACTACTGTGGGTATCGTGCTAGCAGCATATTGCACGGGATTCATCTCGGATATCATTGGGCGCCGTATGGTAGTCATATGTGGCTGTATCCTTTGCATTGCCGGGATCATCGTACAGGGCTTCTCGAACTCGATCTTGATGCTCTTTGGCGGCAAGCTCATCAGCACTGTCGGTTATGGTCTGGGCCACGCTCTAGGACCCGTCTATGTCGCCGAGATTGCGCCGAACTCTCTACGAGGAGTTTGTCTCATTCTTATCAACACTATGATCGTCATTGGACAGTGGTCTTGTGCTTTGGTCGGCTACGGCGGGTCCTTCATCAGGAGCGACTGGGGCTGGAGGCTGCCTGTGCTCGCCCAGCTGGCGCCTCCCTTCTTGATGTTGGTACTTGGAGGAATCTTGCTGCCAGAGTCCCCGTCGTGGCTCCTGATGAAGGGAAAACGCGAGGAAGCTGGCAAGTCACTACGCAAATTCAACGGCCCAAGACACAACGTGGAAGAGAGTCTGGCAATCATGGAAGCAACTCTCGGAAAGGAGAAGGCACTGAGTCAAGGTGGCGCCTCATACTTGGACTGCTTTCGAGGTACCAATTTGCGCAGGACCACGATCGTTTGCGTGGTGTATTTGACCCAGCAATTTGCTGGTGCTCAGCTGGTTGTGGGATACCTATCCTAGTAAGTTTAGACCATCCGGGAGTTTTTCCATCAACTAACACGATCATCTGATAGCTTCTTCACTATTGCTGGGGTGGGCAACCCTATCGGTATTGCTCAGGTTTGTTACAGTATCCAGCTGCTTGGCAATATCTGCTCTTGGTTCCTAGTCGAACGAGTCGGTCGCAGGCCATTGATAGTCTGGGGAACTGTTGCCATGACGGCTCTTCTGCTAGTGATTGGTGGTCTGGGTGTTCCCAAGAGCAACCAAAGCGCTCTTACTGCTATGGTTGCACTCATGGCTCTTTGGGGATTTATAGTAAGTCAAGCCTAAGCGAAAACAGTTCTTCGGTCTTTTGTTCCAGTGCTGACAATGAGTCTTCAGTCTCAACTTTCGATTGGCGCCGTAGGGTATGCCGTCGGTGGCGAAACTGCATCCCCTCGTCTTCGTCAAAAGACCTACTCTATCAACGTGATGAGCAACACGGCGGCCGCGTGTCTCGTCACACAGCTGATGCCGTTCTTAATCAATCCCAGCAACGCCAATCTCGGGGGCAAGGTTGCATTCGTCTTCTTTGGACCATCGCTGCTATGTTCTATCTATCTCTACTTCTGCTTCCCGGAGATGAAGGGTCGCAGTTACTTGGAGCTGGAGAACATGTTCCAGAAGCGACTGCCGACTCGAGAGTTCAAGAACTATCGTTCCGAAATTGAGACCATTGAGGTGGATGATGGAGAGAAGGTTGCGGTGGTCCTGAAGGATTGACGCATAAATTGATACTTACAAGTGCCGAGGCTATTGTTCTGCTATGCGCAGGGCCTACAACAGCAACGAAGATCGATAAGCATTAATGCAATTCTTCCCAAATTGCAAATGTTCACCGGACAAGACTCCATGCAATGGATACTCTCTATGTTCTGAGAATACAGTCTTTACAGATACCTCTGAAATGATCTATCGATGAAGTGGGGCTTGATGGCGTACTCGGAGTCCGTGATACCCGGAATCCGTAACGGTCGCCAATTTCCTAAAGAAGTCATCACCCCAGCCTTTCGCTCATATTCTCTCTCCTACCTACTTGAGGCTGAGCTCAGTCGGTGCGTTGCCGTGATAGCCGTGTCCACTTCGCAGGCCTTGGCCTCTTCCATGCCCAAACACAGATGTTCCACAAAGCTAAGACCAGCCTTCGGCCAGGCCGACGGTGCGTAAATTCACCCGTAGAGACCTTATTTTCACCTCCGCCTCGCCTGGGAAACTTTCCCCCGGGAAGGCGCTCCTCCTATATACGCCATCTTGGGTAATATGTCCAGAACAATTACATAACGCGACGAAAGAGGTAGCCAGAATTAAGAAGGAAGGTATCCTCTTTGATGGCTAGTCTGATGCTTTAAAACAAACTCAAAGTCGTTACCTTCTGGTCACTACGTGTTCAAAGTCAACATACTCTTTGTACACTTCTTCTTGCAGTCATGACTGCATAATGCCGACCAAATTCCCACTCCAACAACACCGGGCCGGTGGTGGCCACCCAAGCGGCGAGCGCAAAGGCATTCAAGACAAGCTAGATGAATCTCTTTTGGGCCACCTCTCTCAACTCTTCAACAAATATGCCACTGCAAACAACACATGGACTCGGGACCAGATCAGCATTTTCATGCAGCACGTACAGGCCGAGGACCCCAATGGCCTGGCGGGTTACCTCATCGACAAAAACGAGCTTGATCTCTTCGAGTTGATCAAAGACATCACCTCGCCATGCGGTAACGTTCTCGAGATGGCGGCTCCCCAGGACCTGTCGTGGCCGCTGAGCAGCTACTTCATCAGCTCGAGTCACAATACTTACCTTACCGGAAACCAACTCTCAAGCGACTCCAGCGCTGACGCTTACAGGGATGTCCTCCTCCGTGGATGTCGCTGTATTGAGATTGATGTTTGGGATGGCGAGGAGCGATACAAGCCCGGGGTCAACCCCGATGGAGAAAAAGAGAAGGGCACAAACAACGCACCGGCCAAGCTCAGTCTCGGAGACAAGTTAGGCATCAAGGTTAGCCGTTGGATCTTGAACAAGTTTGACCCTGTGGATTCAGAAGGCAGAACCGCCGATGATAGGCTTTCGGACATTATTTGGGCGGAGCCGCGGGTTCTTCATGGCTTCACTCTCACCAAGGAGATTCTTTTCCGCGAAGTTTGCCAAGTCGTCAAGGAATACGCCTTTGTCACGTCGGATCTGCCACTCATTGTCAGCCTGGAGGTGCACTGCAATCCACTACAGCAGGCTGCCATGGTCGATATCATGGAGGAGACTTGGGGAGAATTCCTTCTTCCAGAACCCGAGTTGGAGCCGGCTTCTTTAGCGTCGCCCGAACAGCTGCGCAGAAAGATTCTTGTCAAGGTCAAATATGTCCCGAAGGATGAGGACGGCGCCGAAAGCGTCAATGCAGCCTTAGACGATGACAGTAGCAGCATACTTGATGTCACAACGACAGAAGGAGGCGAGAAGAAGGCCGTGAAGGTCAAGCCACCTAAGGTCATCTCTCGCCTCAGTCGTTTGGGCATCTTCACGCGTGGTATTACCTTCAAGTCTCTTGAGCAAGCCGAGGCATCGATGCCGAACCACATCTTTTCCCTTTCGGAAAAGACAGCATTTGCTATTCAGAGAAGGATGCCCAAGGCCTTGTTCTCTCATAACAGGGACTTCCTCATGAGAACCTACCCACACGGCATGCGGTTCGACTCGTCCAACTTTGATCCTGTCATCTTTTGGCGAGCGGGCGTGCAGGTTGTCGCGCTGAACTGGCAGTCCTGGGATGTGGGCATGATTCTCAACGAGGGCATGTTTGCTGGTTCGGATGGGTACGTCCTTAAGCCTAATGGTTATCGGCGTGACCCTATCGATCAGTCAGACGACGAAGATGTAGGATCCAACATCGAGAGCAAGAAATTGGATAGAGTCGCTGTCACAGGACTAGCAGCTCAGAACCTTCCTCTGCTCAACCCACATGATGATCCGACAAAGTTCATCCCTTACGTCAAGGTCGGGTTGCATACCGAGCCAGATGCGCTGTCTGCCATGGTGCGTGGAGACTTGGACGGGGAGCAAGTCACACAGATTGGCTACAGTGGCCAAACAAGCAAGAGTACTGGCACCAGCCCGGATTTTGGCGGCGAGGTCATCGAGTTCCTGAACGTCGAGGGCGTTGTTCCGCAGCTGGCTTTCCTCTCATTCGTCGTCATGAACGATATTGTTGGGCCGGATGTTATGACAGCGTGGGCATGCATCCGCTTGGATAGGCTAAGACTTGGGTACCGCTTCGTCAGGATGCTTGACAAGGACGGTATGCCCAGCAAGGGCTTACTTCTCATCAAGGCGGAGGTTGCGGAAGCCGGCACCGAGTAGTATAAGGAAAGCAATCAAAACGAATTCCCACCTTCTTTTCTTGGCACTGAGTCATTATGGTGAGACCTTGGTATCACATTGCACTCCAATAGATATTTTGAGCCAACTGAGTCTATATTCGTATGAAGCCTTTAGTGATCTGATGGGTGCCGCATTCGATTGGACATTGACGATACCGGTTTGAACTGGTGCTGTGTAGTCCAGAAGCCGCGAAATTCTGCCGCAAACCGGAGGCTTACCGATGAACAAGCAATATGGAGCGTCGGACCTGCAGTCGGCTTCCATCCGATACGCGCTTGCTAAAGACTGATATCAATTCGCTCTTGGTGTGGTCAAGATGCATCCTTTGGCCCACATCAAGTCGGGTTGCGTGCTCGACTTCCAACAAGACGCAATGCCACCCATTCCGTGGCGTCATTGTTTGACGTGCGAGAACTCGATAAATTGGCGCAAAATCATCGGAAATCAATTGAAGAGTCAACTTTTGTAGGATACCGATGTCTCATATGAGCCTCGGAAGCGCAGGAGTTGCCGGAAGTTGTGACTTGAATAACGAAGAAGCCACCCAGTACTGACTTCATCGTTATTTCTGAGACTTTGCATTGAGCCATAGCACGAAACCAATCAACATGGCCGGCAAGATTAAGAGAGTGGCCGTAATCGGCGCTGGGCCCTCAGGCGCAATTGCTACAGATGCCTTGGTCAAGGAACAAGCTTTCAACACAGTCCGAGTCTTTGATCGACGACCCATCCCAGGAGGAACCTGGTAAGCTGAACACTTACTTCTATGACTCTACAAGACTTCTAACTATTGCCATAGGATCTATACTCCACACTTGCCTGCCAGTATCCCGTCTCTCAAAACACTCTTAGATGGAAAGGCCGATGCTCCCGTTTCAATCCCATCTCAACTCCCAGCCCAGACACCCAAGTCAGAGGCCATCAACAGTCACCAGGTCCGTTTCTCGGATACCGCTCAGCACGAGCATCTACATACCAACATAACCCCAGAGATTATGAGCTTTACCACTGAACCCTTCCCGGAAACTCTGACTGAACGGATCCGAGAGAAGTATGGCGATGACGCTCCCTTCCGCGGCCGGGAACAAATCCGGGAGTGGGTTGAAAAGATTTTCGTCCGTAATGGGCACGAGGAGTTGCTCGAACTCAGTACCACCGTGGAACTTGCAGCCAAAGACGGTGATGAATGGGTTCTTACACTGAGGAAAGAGCTCCCTGGAAAAGACCACTGGTGGCAGGAGAGATTTGATGCCCTCATTGTAGCAACTGGGCACTATAACGTACCCTGGCTTCCAAATATCGAGGGACTCACGGAATACGACGCAAGATTTCCTGGCCGGATTGTGCACAGCAAGCACTTCAGAGATTCTGATAAGTATAAGGGAAAGGTAAGTCAATAATGCGATTACCCAATTGAAGTTCGATACTTATTATACCCATAGAAAATTGTCGTCGTGGGAGGCTCGGTATCTTCGCACGAGATCCTACACGAGGTCCTGCCAGTTGCCCAGCACCCTGTTTTTGCTTCACTCCGCGGAGAACCTCTGCCTCACTTTGGCTGGGCTCCTTTCATCCACCCCCATATCTCTGTCCAGAAGCAGATTATCAAATTCGACCCAGATACTGGCGCAATCACCTTCGAGGACGGGACCGTAGTTGAAGGCGTGGACTATGTGGTCTTCGGGACTGGTTTCACTTTCAGCTTCCCGTTCTTGCCGGAGGTACAAGAACGCATACGTCAAGTGGACCGTAGGTTGTCGGGAGTCTACTTCCACACATGGGATATCGAAGATCCGACCCTTGCCTTCTTAGGCATGGTAAGTTACTGACCCATGTTTCGTATGAGACGATGATGCTAACAGGCACGGTGCAGTGTGGAGGTGGCTTCACTTTCCGCCTTTTCGAATGGCAAGCAGTCGCGGTATCTCGTCTTCTGGCAGGCAGGGGCAACCCCTTACCATCAAAGAAAGAACAGAAGCAGTGGGAGAAAGATCGTGTCGCAGAGTTTGGTGGAGGCAAGGACTACTACACCATCGCGCCATTCTACAAAGAGGTATTTGAGTACTTCAGATCGGTAGCAGGAGATCCCGCGCCGGGAACCACAGGTCGCGTCTTGCCCCCTTTCGACGACAAGTTGTTAGACATTTGGGCGGCTATGGGATCCGCGAAAGCCAACTTTTGGGAAGACTCTAGAAAGAAAGCAGAGGCTGAGCTCAATGAACAGCCTATAAGATCGAGGTTGTAGATTTTACAAGTCACGTATCGGCGCTACGAGTCCTAGCGTCGCTGCATCCCGTCGTGATGGCGAGTGGGTTGCTGAATATTTCAGTGTTTGTTGCGCGCAAGACTCGATAAGTTATGGTACTTTGCAGCGCGTTCTAGCTGCAGATCTATCTTGCGTTTCAATCTGTAACGCGATGCACTTTCTACTCCTAGATATTTATCACTTCATCGCGCGAAAGCTTTCGCTCATTGTTGTATTGGTCTCAGAATGGTAAGTCGAGAGCGCTGCAATGGTCCCCCCCTCCGTTCTCGTAATAAATCTAAACCAGCTCGTAGCTGTGAAAGGATGTCGCTGTGAAAACGAATGAAAACAATTTACGGCCATTATCACCTTCCTTCAGAAAGCCCAGCAATCCAATTCGATGTCGCAACTATCAAACAAATCTTACTTTGTCGACGGCTTCATCGCTCCAACCGCAGCAGCGAGCATCTGCCCTGTCTTCTTCCAAAATCCTGCGGGTGTTTTGTCTTCGCTTCGCGTAGGCGCGCTCTCGACGAGAGGGGCTAGTCTACAGTCGCGACATGAGCCCGCTCCACCAGGGAGCTTCTCATCCTCACAGGTCTCGCGATACTAGCAGTCGAAACCAGATATGACACATTTGTCGCAGCGAAGGACGGCAACGTTTCCGATACGATGGCCGCAATCGAACGTGTAGTACATGTTCTGACACATTATGGAGGGAGTCCAGGAGTAACTGGGTGACAGAATCAGCATAAAAGAACGAAGGTCTCTATTTGTTTTGCGCATTGCCTACTTCACGTTGGTCTGGTTGGTAACTATGACAATGACGGTCAAGGTGGCTTGTAATGCGAAAATTGCGTGTGTGATACGCAAACTTTGGCTCGTGTGTAGTGATGGGCTTTTGGTAAGAGTGATGTTTTGTTTGTGCGAGAGGAAGAAAAGAAGTTGACCCGGACAAGTAAGGGGCTAGCTTTCATAGGGCTTCCAAGAAGAAATGTAGATGAGCGAGAGGGCTAGCCGGTGCCGTTATTTTCTTTGTATTTGTGGTGAACTTCACCTTTGCTTGCGTCTGGCCACAACGTGTTCACCTTTTATCCCAATTAAGCAATTTGTAACTCTTTTCCTCCCACCTAAGGTCTTTCTCACATTTATGATTCGCCCGTGTCCAAGGAGTTTCGGAAGAGTGTTTTCGGATTTTTGGGAATTTCCAAGACGGAGGAAAGGAGAGAGAAAAAAAGGCTCACTGCGAGTACACTTTCAGTGTGTTCCGATAGTGTCAAGCCACAGTTTGTTTTCGAGACACCCCAGGTCGGCCGTGGCTGGTGCGCAAATGTCTGTTGCCTTTGACGCCACAAGGGGTACCAGTTATTCACCCTTCGTAATTCCTCCCTTTCTCCAGAGCAACTACATCACCATCACATAGCGCGACGTCAATTGCACTACATCTTGTAGTAATTCCGCTATGCCGCTTGAGAGCAAGACAATCGCAAGAGCGGGCGACAAAAGGCGGCGCGACGATGAGGTTCCTCGCGATGATCGCCCCCATCAACTTCGTCGACTACATGGCTCACAATATGAGTCGGATCCCCCGCCTAGTGCAGGAGACTTCGCCGCTCTACAGGCTCGAGTCGATGCAATTGAGAAACAATTCTGCAGCCGCCGCCATCTTCCCAGTGAACAGGACGAAGTGCTAATGCTGACGCCATCGGATGAAACACATATCATTGATGATCAGGATAGTCGATCTTCGCTAAGCGCCCTGAGTAGGGAGACACAGTCCCTACATGTACATATCAACGATGCCTTTCCAGCTTCGGCTTTTCTCGACGGCGATCGATTCCATACTGAAGCGTTGCTTGAAGAGCTGTACCGACCAAATTTCCCAATACCTGAGGTAAGGCTCACAGCTTAAACCACATGGTTGAACATCTAATATCATGAACAACTGAAAGGCTATCCTATCGCTCGTCAATGAAAGCGATAAGATCAAAAACTCCTGCGACGAGTATTTCAAGACCATTCACATCTGGTTTCGGTTCATATCCGCCAAGAAACGACTGGAAGCTCCATTCGCTGAAAATTGTAAGCCGGACATAGTCGCGCTTGCTCTAGCAATGAGACTCACGACATCCGACCCTGATGACAACATTTGCAGCTACCTGTATAACCAGATCAAAGGACTTTTGGACACGCTCGTGGCTACAGGGGTTGTATCACTGCCACTTCTTCAGGCAATGATCCTTGTTACACTTTACGAATATTGCCACGCGGTCTACCCTGCCGCATGGATGAGTATTGGATTATGCACTCGGTACATTGAACTTGTGGGCGTATCCTGGGCAACAAGGGAAACGGCTTTCCATGGATCAATAGACACCGTTGCGCTAAGAAAACCTGTAAGTCTTTCGGATCCTTTGACGGTCTCACATTGTTTATACGTGGTCAAATAGGCATTGACTGGACAGACACAATGGTTCGAAACAGATGAAGAAGAGAGAAGGAGATCATGGTGGGCCGTCTTTATACTTGATAGACTTATGTCTATCGGGAGCAAGCGTCCATGTGCAATATCAAGACTTCAAGAAGATGTTAAACTTCCGATGCATGACGATAATTGGGTTAGTACATGTTAACGAGCACTTGGCCATAAACAGTGCTGTATTTCGTTGGCTCATGAGCTAATTTGCAACAGGAATCTCCCGGCTACGACATACTTGAGGACTATGAGTACGACTGGCAGCCGGTAGTCTCTGCAGAACACTCCGGGTTCTCACGACTCTGCGAAGCCGCCCTTTTGATTGACAGCGCACTTGTACTATCTCGCATTGAGGGCACACTCGATCAGGTTCATATTGAAGATATCGTCAGCCATTCAAAGAAAATTCTAGAATGGATCGATGCCATCGACCAGGAGTCAAAATCTGTAACCGGTACCGACCTTACTCTTCGACTGATCGGACCTCGCTTCGCCGCTCGCTCGGCTCTGTTCCTTTGCGTCAAAAAGCTCACCTTGCGGGCGAAGGTCACCCCAGACGGCAAATACCTACTGAAGCACCCTCACGGGGACGAATCAGAGAGTAATGAAGTGAAGAAGATACAGAGATGCTCAGCAAGAGTTATCTGGCAGTCGAGCCTGGACATACGAAACATTTCGAAAGCACTCTACAACCAATTATTTGATGGGAATGATCCCATCGGGAATTTGGGTATCGTATCGCCGTTCATACTTGATGCGGTGTATAATGCATCCTCCAGTCTCCACAGACTCTCAGCCGATGGAGCTAGCAGCCAGTCATGCCAATCTGACGTACTGAGTTTAACGACGTTCTTGGATGAGCTCAGTATGCGATGGAGATCTGCAAGAGAATACAGGAAGATGTGTGAGAAGCACCTTGGCAATATGCCAGGACTGATGGAAAAGAATTAATCGAGTTGATGAGTACCTTACTGAAGGGTGGGCGAAACGTATATATCAATTGGTTTCGGGGGAGAACTGCTCAATAAACTAGACGACTTGCCCTTTCCCTCGGTTACTAATACCGAGCTTCACCATTCCCTGCTCACCACTGTCTTATTTACCTTTCCATGACTCTTCAAAGACTTGAGCAGCCGTTGTCGGAACAATGTCCGGGAACTTAGAGTTCAGAGTTTCTTCGGTAGGAACCAGAAACTTGCCGATGCCAGCATAGTAGTGAACCTTGGCAAAAAGAGCCTCCGAGTCTTCACGACTGAGCTCAAAATCCGGGAAGTTCTCAATGAAAGAAATCTTTCCCGACTTGAGCTTCTCCAAGCCATCATAAGCGACCCTAAAACCGGGGCCTGCGTGCAGGTTTCTGTCAGTATGAATTCGGGGTTCACGCAGATTTCATAAAGAGTTGATCTTACCGCGTGTCTTCTCTGCCAATTCGAGTATCTCAGAAATTGAGTGGTTCTGGGCCACGATACTACTCACTTTGGACCACTTGTCAAGCCCGACGAGGCGAGCAATATACTTCGCCATATCCTGCGTTGTGATAAAATTGGCCCTGGCTGAGCCGTCGCCAGGAATGACAGCCCACTTCTTCTCCAAGCTGACGAAGTTGACCCATGGGTGGAGATGCGTCTTGTAGTGTGGCATGCCAAAATAATCCAAGAAGAAGCCATTCACAACTCGAGTGTACTCGATATCTGTCTTATCGAGCTCGTCAATTGCCTCAAACGCGTATTGAGCGAGAGGATAATGCGAAATTTGGCTGGGTCATTGTCAGCACCTACAGGCCATGAGGTTGACGGAGAGGCATGGTCATACTCCCTGGTGTGCAGCATGTCATACGCACTGACGATGAAGCGGCGCGTCGAGCTGGACGTGTTTGATGCTTTGACCAGGTTAATTTGAGCCTGGTTGGTCTGCGGCGTGACAACACCCATGGCGGAAATGACGGTGTCAATTTGGTTCTTTTGCAAGATCTTGCTGATTCCTTCCACGTCCTGATAATCAACAGCGAGAAAGCGTACCCCATCTTTTGGTTCTCGGCTCTGTGCAATCGAGTGTCAGTCAAGACTATGTTGAGATGGACTAGGTGATCCCGTAGATACTGACCGTTCTTGAGAGAACGAAAACTCTGTGGCCGCCGTGAGCAACGATGCCCTCAACGATAGTTTTGCCTACCGCCCCCGTGCCGCCTGCAACAGCAATGATAGCCATACTAATATATAATTCGATACGATTCGTAGATGCTTAGATTATTGGTTCGAAGCAAACAACTGTTGGATGTGCTGATTGTGGTGAAAAATACTAGGTAGCTTGAGTTGGAATTGCGAGTTATATAATAATTACTCTTCACGACTTGGTCGCCAGCCCTACTGTTGCTTTGAAATCCAGTCTCTTCTTTACACAGTAGAGAAAAGTATAACCTCGAGCTTGACTAGATAGCCTTGGACATCAACCACGAAATGACAGAAAGCTGCATAGCATGCAAGCACCGACTACGATCTGCCCGGCATCCCGGTTGGAGAAATGTTGGTGAATGCACTTCGATGGGCTCGGAAGTTGAAACATGTTCCTAATGGGAAAAAATGCGGGGATTACGGCGCGAGCCAGGATACTTTGGTATGGATCTTCGTGGCCATGGGCGGGAAATAAGTTCCTTGGACCCCGATTTCTTTGATCTCTTACTCGTTGATCATGTTCCTCGGCGTGCTTTCGAAAGTTCTAGTCAGCGGAGCGACGGTCATCGAGCTCAGAGGTTCTGTAGTCTACTCTAAACATCAAGTCTTCTTGGGAAAAACGCACCGCTGCGAGGACCTGAGGCTCAGAACGATGGATTCCTACGACTGACCTACGACTTTAGTCATCGCCTCTGTCACCTCCACCGAGAGCGAGTCCAGTCTCTCGTTGCGGTCGTCACTGCAAATATCTGCATGAAATTTTACTTAGTTGCATCAACTCACTGGCACGCATCCGTCTCGATTTCGTCTACGATGATCTTTCCCACAAGGCAGCACGCAACAGACTGACCAAATCCCAATGGTTGATACACGGAGCTTAATGGCAAGCTCTGCTAGCTGGCCGGAACGATTGGATTTTCGCAGCGACTGGATGCCACTCGCCGAACTGCAACGTGTGACGGGGACACCAATGATAGTATTGCAGCAAGCTGTCAAGGTGCCAGTGCCAAAAGCAACACCGAATCGGCGATATTCACTGCCAACAAAGGAGTCAATAACAGCGAGGAATTAAAATACCCGGAAGGCGGCTTTAAAAGATGGGGCGTGGTGTTTTTGGCAGTCTGCGCGATAGTTTTATTTCCCGGTCTGCTAAACACAGCCGCAGCCCTTTCAGTCTTACTTCTCCGAGCAACAACTTCAAGCGTACACACCTTCTCAGATTGGTTTGGCCTTCCCCATTTACCTAATTATTTCCTACCTGGTTCACATCTCCATAGGACCCATAGTTGCATGTGACAACCATGGGCATCGCGTTCAAGTTGCTAATGGCAGTAGCATCATCATGATCAGCAGCTTTGCCGTCTTGACTTTCTATAATAGGAAATTACAACGCACTGCCCGCCTCAGAGAGACAAAGACACTGACGAACTGAAAACAGCCTACTATAGACTGATTTCAACCTCCTCGACCCTGGCTGGTCCTTGCGCGTCTTTAGCGAAAGCCCCCTGCGTTTGCTTTCATTGGGCTTTGGTTCAGCAAGAGACGGGCTCTAAGGTAGCTCTGAAAATTGTTACAACCGGCGGCTCAATTGGGGGCACTCCTTTTCTCCTTGTTTTGAAGCAGCACTGCAAAAGCTCGGAGTTGCTTGAAGCATGCGCCTTCTAGCATTATCATGCCTACCTTGTACTTGCAATCTCGACCAAGATACGTCTACGAACGCGTCTGCCTTGCAGCAAAGCCTTCGCTACTATTTTTCAGGTTCTTACTTGCTCAAGGACATAAAATCTTTTCTTATTGTCAGGGAATATTTTCATGGAGTATGGATTGCTTACGCTCCTCGCGCCTATTGTGTCACTTTCAGCAAGTAAGGGATAAACCGCCAACACACGTTAGGCATTAATGATTCTCGTCAATACCGGCAGTAAAGTCCAGCCGCCTCCTTTGTACCAACGGTGCAAGTCAATTTCTTAATTGGGAGAGATGGCGCCAATCAAGACATAGGATATTGTCCCGTGCTTTCTACTCTGTGTGATGATGTTTTTGTAGAATCCAAACCCGGATACGCGCTCTTTCCAAAATTGCAGATCGCTTTGGGAGCTTGGCGACGACTTTATCCATCTTCTGGGTGTTTCTCGCATGGCTGAGGGGGCCAAGGATCGACATGAAGTTGCCTCTCGATTTTTGCACGTCAACTCCAACGGGTTGTGGGATTATTCACCATACCTCTGTGGTGTTGGTCTTGTTGAAGGCCTTCAGCATGCTTACCGCACTTCAATGGCGGCCTGGAATCGAGTTCATGAGCCCTTCACATTCGTGCATCTTCACAATATGTTGAAAGAGCGTGGATACTTGGAACAGAGTACTTACGTCAATCGACTCGCTGGCTTTGTTCGAGCCTTCCTCAAAGATTCCATCTTTGACGAAGGCAAAATCCCGAAAGCCAATTTTGCGAAGGGTTTCCAAGACGTGTTCAATAGGACGATGGAGACCAAATCGAAGACCAAAACGGATGGGTATGATGGCGGCAATTCGGATAGCCTCGAAAGATTCCGTGCGAAGTCTCAATTGGTGCTGTATCAGGAGGCCGATTGGGATCCCAGCCGCATACCAGACAAGGTGCTTGATCCTCGGTCTGCACTTGGAATAGTCCGCCTCAATCAGGCAAGGCGACTTAACCTAGCAACAGGCGAAGTTCAGTTCGAGGCGACGGAACTAGTACGCACTGGCTTGAGAAAGGGAATGGGCGACGATTGGTTGGGTGTTTCTACTACTCTGGAGGAAGCAATGAAAACGGCCAACAGGTGCCGTTTTCTCTTTACACCAAAAGCACTGGCTCTTGCAGAAGAACAAGAAGATGACAGCACTGACTGGAACAACTTGAGAATATCTCTCGAGGATCTGGAGGCCGCAAAGACTGATTTCTGCAACGACATGATCGGTTGCAGCCCTTTTTCTGAAATCAACTACACTGAAATCGACTGGACACTCATGAGAATGTTTCAAGATATCGAAGATGAGCTAGATGAGCAAGGTGGGCCCGATTGGCGCTGTTCGGGCTGTTTGTATGATTCGGAAGAAGACAAGGCAGTCCATAATCGTCTCCATCCTGCTCGCAGTGTTATGGACTCGGCTCGAGACAACTTGAATGAGGAGCGTCTTGCTGTCTTCGCAAGGCACTTCGATGAGCATTTTTCTATCCTGACGGATTACATGTACTTCGCCAAATTTCAAAACCCCCTACAGATGCTGGCAGATAGGTCTGGGGTGAGCCTACCTGCCGACTTGAGAGGGGTTTGTCTGCTCATGTAAAGGACACCCACAAGATTGACAGAATTGCTACATGTATCTATGAGGTCGAACTTTCCTCGTATTAAAGGGACATGGAAGTTTTCTCGTCAATATTGATACAAAACAACATTCACCTCACACAGGAGCAAGATTGATCTTTGAGATGTGCGAGTTTGAGACGTCATCTCTAATTACATTCATCCCGCCCTTTGTTTTTTTTTTTTAAAAAAAAAAAAGGGAGATAAGCAACGAAACCTCCGCATTGCCCCCTCGTCGGTGGTCCGGTGGATGCTCTATCATGCTCATACCCGGCTGACTTTCCACCCCCCGGGAACCCGAAGCTGGAAAAAGCCCTTCGGGTCGTACTTCGCAGCCGTATTCTTCAGGAATTGAACGTTTTCTGTGCCGTATGATCCGATGACGTCTTGTTCCGGGTTGGCATAGTTCATGTATAGAAAGGTTGAGTGGCCTTCAAGTGAAGCGGAGTATGCTCTCAGCTCCTCGATAGCTCTACCCATCATACTCTCAACAACGCCTCCATACTCTGCATCAGTAGCTGCTAGGGTGCCTCTAGCCTCGAAGAGGATCGAGTCGGAGGGTAGGTTTTTGTCGAAGCCTAGTATGTTGTTAACGGGCGTGACGGCGGCGAGGTTCTTTGGGAGGGGTTGGAAAACAAAATTGACGGAAACCGGAACACTGGCGGCATCGAAGTCTTGTGTCAAAGCCACGAAGATTTCGGCAGCTTTGTTCATGATTTCGGCAGTGGCTTGAAGAGACAGAGAGAAAGGGATGTAATGCGATCCACCGGTGTCGGCAATGGTCGCCGCAATCTTACTGAGAGGCTGCTTAGATCTCATGTCCCTCGTCAGGGTAATGTCGTTGAAAGGGGCAAACGATGTCGAGTTCTCGTTGCCGTCAGTGCTGACTGCCATGGCCATCACAGCCAGGTTGCCGGCGTCGGATCGATAGACGACAAACTCGTGGTCGGGACTGCCGGAACCAATTGAGCTGGCATAGCTGACAAACTGGTCAATCACGACATCCAAGTCGCTCCATGACGCAAAAAGTAGGCCACCATAGGCACCAGTAGGTGGTACAGTGAAGGTCCTGAGATCGAAACGAGTGACAATGCCCAAGTTGCTTCCGCCTCCCTTCAAAGCCTTGAAGAGATCTGTGTTCTCCTCTGTATTAGCCTCGACTATCGATCCATCGGCGAGGACGACCTCATAGCCGACGACATTGTCGCATGAAAAGCCATAAAGCTGCGTGTGGTAGGAAGCACCGCCAGACACGAGTAGGCCACCAACGCCGACGTGACCAGATCGTCCACCTGTGACTCCTAAATTATATGGCTCGAGGTAGGTCATGACGTTGCCCCAACGGGCGGCAGGGCGAATCTGAGCGATATTCTTCCCGGTATTAGCTTATCACTCTGCAAAATCTCGCCAGACGTTTGTTTACCTTGGTCAGAACGCTTTGGCCTACCCAATTAGCAGTACCATTGAAACAACTGCTCTTGACCAGCTCAGTAGAGTTGAAGAATGTGAGATCGATAGTGACTCCTCGGTGAGCAGCATTGTTGTCGTAGTCACTGTGACCACCAGAGCGAATAGCAACGTCCCAGTTCCCGGCACCGCTTACGCCACCCAGAGCTTTGATGGTGGAGGAAACATCCTCAGTCGAGCGCGGCTGAACGATACAGTAGGGTCGAAGTCGACGATTCTCTGATGAATAGTACGTCGAGGTACTCTCAGTGTAGGCAATGTCGGTCGGAAAGACGAGAAACTCTCCAAGCCCGGCATCAATGAGGGCATCGCACTTTTAACTTCAATCAGTGTCCGATATGAAAGAAGGAGGCGGGGCAGGTTTGTTGCAACAAAGAGCAGAGATACCCCGCCAATGAGAGAACTTACAGCTTTGAACCCGGATGATGTGGTGTTTGGCTGAGCCAAAGCTTGGTCGAAGAGGCCGAGTAAGGCAGCTATGCCAAGATACTTCTTGAGAACCATGGTGGATAAAGGAATGACTCGGGTGAAAAACACCAAAAGAAAGTGAGGGAGAGCGTAGTTTGGTGTTAATACTACGGCCTACTCTGTGGTACGAACGCCGGGCCCCGAGTCTTTATTTACTTGAAGCATGCCCAATAACAGCTAGAAATGCATCTGTCTTACTTCTTCATTACTCTCTCCATTCTCCAAGTCTGAAATCCGCTTTGCGATCTGTAGGTGCACGAAGATCGCAGACCGTTGGCACTGAAGCTACCAGTCAAATATCGGGACCACTACACGGCACGGAGGACATCACGAAATAGGTCTTTAGACCATCGTTCCGGCTAAGCTCATCTCATCATCCACCAGTCCCTGGAACAGCTCGGTCTCGCATCTGCAGTTCTTTGGTCAATGGTATCTTTATTCGGGGCGTACATGCGGCACAGCGTAGAAACCCTCGATTGGTTCTTTAGCGATTATGAAACGCAATGTCGCTTGTATGCACCTGGATGACTCCAAGTCTTTACGAATTTCTGCCAAGGCGGAACGGTACCCAGGACCCTGGAGGCGAATGATCACTGCAGTTTGTCGTTGGTCGAAGACTCGTAGTAGACCGGGCTACGCCGCAGCGGCGCATACAGTTACGGATACCTCCTCGGACTTTGCTTGATATGGCTTTAATGCGGATATTGCCAAGAGACCCAACAAGGGTCGGCTCATAGCTCCGCAATGCCCGGCCAAGACCAACATTACGATATGACTCGGTCTACAGAATAAGGTCCTGGGAGTAGATCTTGGTAAGCGACTCAGCATGCACTCTAGAGAGACTGCGCAATAGCTTGCAGACGGGCATCCTGGCCTTACTTAACTTCCTACCATGGTCCAAATCTGGGTCAGATTTCCTGAGAAAGACCTCCGCTTCGGACTCCCGATGGGTTTTGGAAGAATATCGGTGGTCTAAAACGACCTACTCAGGTCTCCATCTGCTTGCTGTCGTTATGGCGTGGGCCAACAGCGATCTCTCGGTGCTTGTCCATGCAACGACATGGGTGGTAAGTCGAGTTTGCCAAACTGAGGGTCCAAGGTAGCCTGATTCGAGTTGAGTACCTATTCTGACAAACTTCTCCATCTTTAGATGCTCTTTCTATCGACTATCTTCCTCGCCCTCCGAGTCTACAGCCGGCTTCGAAACACCGGGATCGGGCTTCAAGCAGACGACTGGGTGCTCGTTGCGGGATGGTTCTTCTTGCTTCTAGCGTCAGCAAACGTGTCCTGGTTGATGGCTGTGTTTCTTATTCGAGGAAACCTGCTGAAGATCACTATTGCCCGAACCCACCATAACCTTCAATCTGTCGCTCTAGGGCTGACAAAGACATCGTTTGGAATCACGCTGTTGCGGTTGATGCCCGGGGGTTGGGAAGCAAAGCTCATATGGGGCGTTATCATTACGATGAACCTACAATTTGCGATACACATCATTGCAACATGGCAGGCTATCTGCGGTGCACCAGACCAAGGACATATCGGAGGCGATAGGTGCTGGCGGTTAGACCAGTCGGTAGCATTCACTGTCTTCAGTGCATGTGAGTTATAACCATGTCTGGCAGTGGTATCCAAGTCTGATCTGTCTACTGCAGTATACTCGGCGATTTGCGACATTGTTCTTGCTCTTCTACCATGGAAGATGATATTCAATCTGCAAATGAAACAGTCAGAGAGACTAAGTGTAGCCGTGGCTTTAAGCATGGGAATCCTAGCAGGTGTTACAGGGGTTATGAAAGCTGTTCAGGGCTACATGCTGATCAACGTGAGATCTCCTGATTGTAGGTGGTTCATTCCGTGTTGAAAACTAGCATGCGCTAATGTCGATTTCTTTGCCAGATCTATACAACCAAGCAGTCTACTGGGTATGGTCTATGGCAGAGCCGAACGTCACTATTATCTCAGCATCCATACCAGTTCTCCGTGGTTTCGTTCGCCAGGTCCGGAAACGAACAGAATCTTCGCCGGGAGCTGGAGCATACATCAAGACAGGGGATACAAGCGGAAGATTTTACAATCGGAGTACTGTGACGGCGACAAGAGCAGAGCCGAGAGATCAAGATGCTTCGAGTGACAGCAGCATACTGGTTTCGGGGCAGCAAGGAAGCAATGCTAGTGGAAGAGGCGGTATCACATGGACTACTGAGGTGAGCGTTGAATACGCACCTCGACCTCAAACCGGGAATCACAATGGATCAATGGAGACGGACATTTCAAAGAGTGTGGGCGAGTTCGAGATGAAGCCTATAGATCGCCGGAAAGGCAGCACATAGCCTTGATGTATAGGTCTTTTTGATTATCCTTCAATGTATGTGTTAAAAGTTGTTGCATCAAACCAGGATAGTACATCTTGTGTGCTGAAGCCGACAAGACTAAATAAGGTACTTAGGCTCTGCTGAAAAGGTTCAAGCTTTGAACCATTTCTGAAAGTGTCTATTTGTGACAAAACCGAGACGGATTACTGAATCACTCGGGCGGATCGAATGGGCTTCAAACTTGTATTATGCATTATCTAAGCGCTGCCCTAAGCTTTGACTTGGTCGTCGACCAGAGTTTCTGAGTTGCTGGCGGTAGTGAAGTTCGTTTGCGATGAGCCGGTGTTGTATCGCGGGCTATCCATCGATCTAGACTGGTTGATCTAAGGAGGGCAAGGGACAACAATGGTCTTCCAAGCCGGGATGGAGTCGGGGTTGGGGATGCCGTTCATGGCGGCGATGATGTTGGCGGTGGAACCGAAGTCGGCAGCGATCTCGTTGAGTGTGTCGCCCTCGACGATCCAGTACCAGCCGCGGCCGGGGTGGGATCTGTCGCGTCTGCAGTCGCGCTTGGGCTTGTCGGCAGCCATGGCGACAGCCGAGAGGGCAACGACGAGGATAGAGGCGGCGTGCATCTTGGGGTTTGGTAAACAGGCTGGTAAAGACTGACTGGTTGTTATAAAGAGCGTGTAAGTTGAGTGTAGCGGAATTGTGACTGCAAAAGAAAGCAGCCCTTGGATGTATTTAAAGACTGGAAGAATTGTGTTTCATACAGAATGGTTACCCCGTGTCATGACTATCGGTAATATCTTCCTCGCTCTCGCCTCGTAGGCGCATGACTTGTGCAGCGCCTCAGTTCCTCAGAACAGGCTGTTTTTGCCTTGTACGAGTCAAGCTCACGACGATCGCATTCTTCTTAGACCATCACACGAACCATCTTATCAAACTCTATCTGCGAACTGTTGGTCAAACTGCCGGGAACACGGACACTTTTTGCCGGCTTCAAGGTTACGGCTAGCAGTTTTCATTTAGGATATAGTACCCTAGGACTCGCGCGTCAAGGGAACGGAGACGGTAGAACCACAACCATGGAACTCTAAGAAAGCAGTTGGACGGGCTTGTCCGTGTCGATCATTCACCGCAACTGCCGATTCTCCCGAGGAACTTAAAGAGTTTCGGGTATTGCCTATGCGCTTCACCTTTTTGTCAATCGCGCAAACTCAATGTGAACATTAAAGTATAGAGGAATTGCGGAAGTTGGTCAAACTCGCCTGTTGCGAATCCGACTTAGTGTCCGCACTCTACTTTGGAATCTAATGTCCGACTGTCGCTTCTCAAAACATAACTCAATGTTGGAGAACAAGCGCTTGCATTGCCTGAATACTCAATCCGGGAAACGGGGCGACGGACTATCTTGTCATGGTTTTCGAGAATGCAAGTCTAGTTTCTACCAAGCAGCGACAGTTCGAACGTGTACGGGCATTTATTTTCTTGTTCACGCAAGGCAACCTTTTATAGAACAATTGGCCACCGGTAATTTCAGACAGAAATACGAGTACAGAGGTCATATAGAGAATGCCGAATTTTCGTATGGAGTACGAAGGTCCAGAATGACAAGCGGCGCGAACCTTGCAACTTGCTATCGTAGTGGGGCGGTTGCGAAAGTTAGCTACGACGGATGCCGTAGTAAACACTTGAGATTTAAAGTCTCGGGCCTATCCAAATTGCCGTCTACTGGTATGGTCAAACAGTGCAAAGCAAATTCAGTTCATGTGAGGATGCGAGTGTCAAAAGTCACAGGCGCCCCACTGGAGACAATCAGGCCAGTAAGTGTTTGCTATGCTACGACAGAAATGTGCACGTAAAGAAGGTGAAAACACTGATGGTTTGTTTGCTATGGGGCATATGTCTTTATTCATTATATCCCATGTCATAAATCTAAAATGTACAGTGATCCAATCTAGTATCCCCGTCCGATGCCCATTACTCCGATTACTACATTAGGTATGGTATAGGTAGTTTACATGCAGGCGGCACCGTCGATGCCGAGGACCTTTCCGTTGATCCACTCGCCGTCCTGGGAAGCCAGGAAGCAGACGACACGGGCGATATCGATCGGGAGACCGACACGGTGCATGGGGGACCAGCCAGCGGCGTACTCATCGACACCTTCGTCGTCGAGCTCAGTGCCGCCGGGGATGTACTCGCGGCAGACATCACTGAATGGTAGGTTAGCTTCTGGGTCTGTGAGGCAACTAAGTTGGATTGTGCACTTACCGGTACATGTCGGTCTTGATACCACCGGGGGCAACAGCGTTGACGGTGATCTTCTTGTCACCGAAGTCGATAGCCATGCAGCGGACGAAGGTCTCAATGGTTCCCTTGGAACCAGAGTAGACGGCGTGCTTGGGGACACCCTTGGCCTGGCCAGTGATGGAACCCATCAGGATGACACGGCCACCGACCTCGAGGTTCTTGTAGGCCTCACGGGCAACGAAGAACTGGCCACGGGTGTTGATGGAAAAGACGCGGTCGAACTCCTCGGGGGTGACATCCTTGACGTGGCCGAAGGAGACGACACCAGAGTTGGAGCAGACAATGTGGAGCTTGCCGAAGATCTTCTTGGCCTCGGCGAACATGGAGACGATCTGGTCAACGTCGGAGACGTTGGCCTTGATGGAAGCGGCGTCGGAGCCGGACTTCTTGATGGCCTGGACGACCTCCTCGGCGGTCTCGGCGCTGTTGGCGTAGTTGACGATGACCTTGGCACCGCGACGTCCGAGCTCAAGGGCCATCTCACGACCAATACCACGGCCTAGAGAGTGTTTGTGTTAGTTGAGTTTGAGATCAGACGAACAGATCACCCTAATGATGCACCCCAGGAAGCTTGCTAATTGTCGGTTGCAGCTCTCCCGAAAGAAGCTGCCTGCCCGGAGGGAGAGAGTAAAGGAATGGAGCATTAGATTGCACGTACCGGCACCGGTCACGAGAGCGACCTTGCCCTCGAGGGAAGCAGAGGCCAAACCCAGGGGGCCGGGAATGGCATCGTACTTGGAACCGGTAGACTGAGAAGTAGCGCCAGGCATTTTGAATGTTGTTAATGTGGTGTTGACCGGAGAATGGTGTGGTGGTGTGTTGGTCAAGAGAGTTGGATCGTCGAGATACCGAGGAGTTGATCGATTGGTTAAGTGAGTGATTGAGTTCTGCTGGATTGTTTCGAAAAGTAGATGTATCGAGGCCGGCATTCCAGGTTCTTAAATATGACATTTCAATCTCAACAAAGCTCTCCTTTACAACTCCATTGTTTCTATTTACTCGCTTTCCCCTCCTAGACAACCGGCTCACCTGAGGCGGTTCGTCGCGCGCCCGGACGCCCGTGGAGAGACCGCCGGACATGGACGTGCGCCTCCGGACGTCCGTGAAACGAGACGGTTCAAAGGTCTTGGGAGTGCGGGTGCTGCTGCTAGTTAGTTTCCCAACGCTGCACATCGCTTCCCGCACCAAAAAGCGAGAGCCGAACAGAGTTAACGTAACGCCACAAGGCACCAGAAAGTGTCCATCCCTATTCTTTTTTTGGGCTGATCTTTGCGCTTCATTGTACGTCCCTGAACTAGCGCTTGGTTGACCGGTCCCTTGGCGCGCCTGGGTTCAACCACACCATGGTTCAACCCACACGACCGAAGCGCTACCACGGCCGTTGCTTCTCCCCCTTATTGCTACCTCAGTTCTAGTTGCCCAGGAACATTAGATAGAACATTGAAGTCGTTGAGACCGCCCGGACCGAGCCCCGGCCGCAAGCCAAGGCGGCATGTCCCACCGCCACGGATCCCTTTGCTTGCACACATGTACGCATGGGTACATACCCGCAGAGGCATCATTGGTTTCCCTATGAGCCTGGTCAAAGTCGCTGGTCCTCGCTATTGTCTTCGGCGCGAATTCCTCTGGTGGCCCGTGGCTGGCTGGCCGGCCGTGAGGATCATCTTACAGGCCTTGCCACCTTGATTGAGAGGGTTGCCGGTCAGCCATAGGTTATGGCGCAGCCACGAGTCTCGAAGACCGTCTGAGAGGATTCTCAACGCCGTCCGAAGAGATCAATGCTACACCTCCGTACTAGGGATCGCTTACGTTGACGATGTGTTGAGACGATTTCTGAAGTTTTCCTAAGCCGGGCTGTTGTGCAAATCCGCTCGCCGTTGCCGTTCTACGATCAACGGCGATGTTTACATGGCGATACTTGCTCGGCGTTTTCATGACTTTGCAGACTCACGAGGTTTTACTCTTTACACCATGTGCGTGTCATGATGTTGCCATCGTCTGATGTCAAGCCTCTTCAAATTAAAACCTCTCACTTAGCGAACCCGGAAATTGCGTTTGCGGGTGCAAAGGTTCCGGAGAGCTGGTACCCACAAGCTCGGGGGGCCTCATCACTCGAGACGCGGCAATCGGTACCGATTCTCACCACGGTGACGGGCTCAATGGAGGGGTCAGACTGAATCGGCAACCGCCGTGAGACAACATGCGAGAGTCGCGGCTGGAAAGGCTCTACCGGCTCAAGTTGCTCAAGCCCGGATCCGGAGCAGGGCCCTCCCCAGTGAAGCCAGAGTTAGGCCTCGGAATCGGTCGAGTGTTGGGTGATGCGGTCTCGGAGGCCCGACGAACTTAAGCCACGCCGGGTCAGCCAGTGAACTTTGTGTGACAGTGTGACTGCGAAGGCGTGAGGCCCCCTCTTTTGATCATGGCCCGGCCCGGAAGTCTCGACCTAATGGCTGCGTTGCCTCCGCGCTGGGTCTTCGAGAATACGGCACCCGCCGGGAGATCCTCGCCAGGCCGCCCTCCCTTTTCCTCATCCGAGAAATTGCCTTTTCTGGTAATTTTATCGGGCTTGACCCCCGGTACTTTTCGCATGGCTCGTAATATCTCGACGATTTTCGGGCTGATTACACAATATGGCAACAGTTTCCGTGTGGTGTTCAGTAATTTCGCTCCGCGGGGTTGGAAACCACTCCGCACTGATCCTAGCTATTTTCAGTCTTCTAGGCGATCATGGGCTAACCTGGGCTATTCCAATTACACTGCTGGCAAGCGAATCCTCTGTTCTACAGTACGATGCAAGTGGATCGATGGGATTGTGGAAAACATTGAAAAGCATTCGTTGCCCCTCCCCCCCCCCCTTACAAATAACGTTCTGCGATCATCTTTCTCATCGAAGTATAACTGGTGGCGAAAGCCAACTCGAAAAACGAGAGAGTTTAGAGATTCTGACTCCGTTCGGCGCCGGCAGCCTTGAAGGTACCACTCAGCGAGCCGTGCAGTCACGATCACGTTCATGGTGTAGCCAACACAGCCAGCGCAGCACCGAGGCTCCAGATCGGGGCGGTCAGCAAGACTCCTTCATGAGCCCACCCTCCATCGTGCTTCCTCCCCGACCCTCCTTCTTCTCGGATATCGCCATCTCACTTATGGGGAAGTACAGCCTATTCCAATGGGTGAGAAATTAGACTCTATGGAGAAGCGTGAACACGATCTGGCAACGGGCTGGTCGGACAAAGTATGTGGTTACGTGCCCGCACCATCTCATTCTCGACCCAAATGGCTGGGTTGCGATGCGACTCTGCCCCCGAAAATCCGGTGCTGTAGTTATGGGTTCGTCTCGTTTCTTGATTTTAAGTCTCGCTTCTTTGCCTCATAACGTCAATCGCATCACCTCACTCAAAGTTTCCGATGGGGTTTCCTCATCTTTTGCAGGCTGTCAACGGTGAGCCGATGCAGTACTACAGACAGGAGTGAATCCGAATCCGCATCCTCGGGAATTGGAGTCTGGGTGGAATCCTGTCATCCTGTCAGCAATAGCCCACCCGATCGGGATCGCAACCATGACAAACCTCCCTCTCTCACTTTCGTATTTTTAGCTCGGGGGAATTGCTAAGAGAAGCCGACATGGGCTTATCTCACGCTCATTCTCAGCTGAACGACCAAGAACCCCGCAGGTGATCCTTCAGGAAATAGTGCAAAGCCTCAGCCTCCTAGCCACCACCAACATCAGCACCACCAAGTTCCAACGAGACACGCACCAACCAAAGCTGCATCTAATTCACAACCAACAAGACTACCTCGGGGCAGATGCACTCATCAAGAGTTTCATGTTGCCACCATGGCACCAACGGCCTTCTTGTTTGATCATTGTTTGCACAATTGCACTGCTCTCTTGTGTGTCCCTAATCTGTCTTATGAGATCATGCGGCGCAGAAGTGGCATGCACCAACAAGCAGATTCTCGTGGCCCCCAGTCCCTCTGTGTCTCGATTTTATTGCCTTCGAGGTGGTACACACCCAAAGAAGGTTGTCTGCGAAAGATTCCAAAGAATCACACAGCATATGCAGATCAACTCCAATACGTAGAAGATTAGCACAGCCTGCTTGGAAACTCTGCATTCGTCAACCTTCAGGTGATAGAGAAGAGGCTGTCACCCAGCTCAAGGTGCCAAGCGTAGCCAGGCTTCCTAGCTTTGTGCCCCCAAAAGAGGCTGTGGAGACCCGCAAGTGCGAAATTTGGCGGCATCCTCCCACCGCCCTCTCGTACTCCCCTTGCAACAATAAGACAAATATTTGTCTGCCTGCAGAAGAAAGACGAGGTTTACAAGGCTGCTTGCAGGTACCTCAGCAGAGAAGCCCCGTCTTAGTCCGACATGTCGAATGATGTTGCCCGGTCGAGTCGGCGATCAGCATGATGCAGGCTCGAAGCCGTTGTTCACACCTTCTGGCAGCGGGCTTTCCCTCAAGTTTTACGCTTATGAGCTTATATACATCTTATACCTATGTCTTAAGTAGCATTACCATGTGTTCCAGTCAAGTCTACTCACACTCCTCTGCCGTTGTTTCTCATATACCATACAAGCTTGGTCTCAGATTGTAAACCTCGAGAGCGAGCCAGGCTTCCGAACATATCAACAGCTTCACGTCCACCGACCATCTACCATGGCGGTAGCCAGCTTGGGCCTAAGCTGTCCCAAAGGCGGCGACTTCTACATCTGCGAAGGAAGCAAGGTCGAATTCCTGGGCTGCTGCGCGACGAACCCCTGCGCCGACGGCAGCGGAAAGTGTCCAACAAAGGACAGGAGGATATCATCCTTCAACCCGGACCGCTACGCCAACATACCAGCCCAGGGCTGCGACGATGCCAGACCGCCGAGCGAGATCTTCTGGACGTGCACCAACGATATCTCCTTCATCGGATGCTGCGCGACAAACCCGTGCCAGGAGCCCGATGGATTATGTCCGCAGACGAATCTTATATCGGCGACGCTGAGCTCGAATGCGAGTTCGAGGGCCGTGTTCCTACCGGATGAGTCCGTGACACCCACACCGTCGGCATCAGCATCGTCTACGGCAACACCGGCTCCGAGTGGGTCGCCGTCCGGAGGTAGTGGAGGTCTAGGGACGGGAGCCATCGTCGGAATCGCGATTGGCGCCGCGGTAGCCGTTGGTATTATTGTTGCTATTATCTGGAGATGCGGATGGCACGCCAGAAAGCGCAACGAAAGACTTGAGCCGCCGGCGTGGGAGCCGTCCGCCGCCCAGAGCCCTCATCCCAGCCAACACCCTGAGATGGGATATGTACCACACAGCCCTAGCCCCTATGATCCGGCACATGGTAAGTCTTTACCACGATCACCATCATGGAGTCAGAACAAGACTAACATGTTCCAAAGCGTCGTACGCGACAACAGCCGTCCCCGAGTCTTATGCCTCTTCATCACCTCCACCGCACTCACCATACTACTCCATGAAACATCCCAGCTCACCCATGAGCATGGACCCGCGCCATATGTCGACTTACTCGGATAGCAATGTGAGCTCTTTAAGCAGCCACCCTGCAGGCCCGCGGCATCTTCCATCCTACTCTGCTCTGAGGAGCGATTTGCACCCAGTCAGCGAGCTAGATAGCACAGAGCGGGAGGTGCCGAGGGCAGAGCTGGGAGATGGGACCCCGACGATGACAAATTGAAGAGGGAATGTTAGTTTAAGAGTCAATGATGACTGACGGGTGTAACATGCGATATTTTTCTTCTAAGCGGGGCGTTTGAGGCGTAGCATAACAGCTGAAGGGAGGCATCACGATGTCTCCGTCCTCTATGTATCGTACGATACATCTTGCATACCTGGTAGTAGGTACTTAGTTAATACTTTTCAATTGGAGTAAAGCGGCTATTTTTTAAACCTCAATTGTACATGTTTCACTCATCGAAATGACACACATTTAAATAGATGATTCCGTTGATATCAAACATGCCAGTAATGACCATGTTGCATCACGTGTTAGAGCTTACCTGTAACTAAGAGCATTCTGAAATGGCCTGTGCCAGCCCTAACTTAAGAAGTGCATTTCTCTACTTGGGGAAAACCGTTCGTCCTATGGACAAGGTTCATCTGGCTGCACTCAACTGGCTTAAACAGTTTTACGTTTCACAACTCCGCATCAGACTGCCAGGCCTTTCCCTTTTCGCTTCTTCGACGATGTCGCGGGGCCTCGACGTCGGTGGAGCACAGGCGGGTCCGATGGCATTATGAGTTGCAAACTTCGCAAGGAAGTCATCAAGCAAGACCCGCCTTGCTAGCTCAATCGGTAGAGCGTGAGACTCTTAATCTCAAGGTTGCGGGTTCGACCCCCGCGTGAGGCTCAAATCCTCACCGCGATTGACCAAATCATTCTTCGGGTTCTAATTCTTTTGCTTTTTTGGGTGTTGTACAGATTTGTTACATTCCTCCCGCACGTTGATATTTGTCTTCACGGTTTGATCAAGCACTGAGTCCATCCTAGTCAAGGACAGACTTCATAAAGTGAGTCTATTCGTTTAATTTGGAGGTACAAGTCGCAGGCGATTTGTACGTCGCCCTGAGGTGCATAACAAAGACAATGCGACAAGAATCACAGAGGGAAGTTGTACTTAGTCCCTATATCATAGACCGAAACCATGATGTCTCTTGTCTGCATTTTCGCGAAACTCATGGATGATCCAGCGATTGAGACTACGTGGATCCGCCTCAAGACTCACGTCAGCAGGGCTTCTGACAAATTTGCAATTAGAACGATGAAAGAGCATGGAGAATGGTCAGATCGGGGTTCAACACATACCATCAAACCTCGACAACTTGATTTAGACTGTGGTGACAAAAAGACCATCCCTCTTTAGGTACTAGATGTATGAACTATCGAAAAAGCGGCAGCATCAGACTTGTCTAGGAATGATACCGACAAGAGCGCCGTAACAAGTCAGGAGCAACTAACAAAGCAAGGTTACTGTGATGAACAAGAGACTCTACGCGGAGAAAAAGTCACAGAAACATTTGCTGGAACATCTCAGGTCTATATCTAGAGCTCTCACTCAAGGTAGCCTCCGTCCAGCAACCCACAGCGAGCCCCACGGGTAGATTCTCTATACGAACGTACTCTATAAATCGGGCTTAATCCTCCGTCATCATGACCACACGTTTCCGACACTTCCTCGAGAAGTACAAGAGCAAGTTTCGTTACTATATTGCGAACTCGGTCAACTTGCGCCAGATTACACAATTGGTACTAGTCTTGATCTCGCTAGCCGCCATCGTCGGACCCATCGTACTACTTGTGTTCGAGTATGAGAAAAGCCCTTCAGTACGCCTGATTATTCTCGGGCTTCTATCAGCTGCTATTGCGACCTTTTTCGGTTCCTGTGTAGCTCTATGGTGGTGGCGTTTCGCCCATCCTCCCAGGGACGACAATCAGCAAGTCATACCCTGGTCCAGAAGCGGTTCAGAGTCGAGCTCGGTCGGTGCAACTCAGACCCAACTCGCTGCAGAACCGTCCGACACACAGGGTATGGACTTGCCTTTGAGTCCCATTACAGAGCAGGCTGCTTCTTCTGTTATTGCCGAAGTTAATGTAGACGGAGGCGGCCACGAAGGAAATAATGCTACGACGCCTTCAAAGAGTTGGGTATGCCGGCACTCGTCTTGCCAGGGGTTTTGAAGATTGAGAACAATCAGGGATCCGCGGCTGCTCAAGTGTGATTTGGAGAGATGTTTCGAGCAGGTGGCAGTAAATGCTTCAAGTGATCTGTGTTCACCTCTGCCATGGGTGCATATGTTGAGTATCTAGGACTTTGTAGGTTGGAGACTAGCTCATACGAGCCACAAGGCTTCTAGCACACTAATAATACACTGAGGTACCTCGTCGGACATCTGCACTAGAGGAATGCTTCTTGCGTCGTGCGAAGTATGACCCAGTTTCACTGGAAAGTTAGTGAGAAGAGTCAAACGCTTAGATGGTGATCCGTCTATCGAAATCCTACATAAGTTTCCCCCATCAACGTTGGCTTCGATGAACATGCGTTGTAGATCTTTAGAATAGGATACAGTTGGCTCAGTACCCGTCGTTTTCCAGAGACCGAGTGCAGTTGCAACGTCGTCCCTGACTCTTTTAGAGTAGCAGTCGACCGAATGGAGACTGTTGCAAGATTTCAATGCATCATCTACTGTAGGTGCGCGTGGGAACATGCCCGTAGTCACCCAAGAACGCGGCGAACGCCTCCAGTCGCTGGAAAGACAAGCGTAACACAGATATTAACAGTAGAACAAGTTGCTGGGATTCAAATGCTACACAGGAGATTTGGACTACAAACAGTAAGTTGTAGTCTATACCCTATAGACGCAGTTGGCGAGACATTAACCTAAATGCGATTCTGGAGCCTTCTCTTAGAGATAGCTAAATGTTGCAACTTGCATGTAATCCCACTTTAGGGAGCATCAAATAGTGGTATTGCAGACTCAAAAGTGAGGGAAATATCACAACAAAGACATAGTTCAAGTCTTGCGAGACACGGCGGCGGCCTACCCCTCCATCGAACACGTACACGACTCGCGGGCGTTGGGCAGAAAAACCATTGCCATCACAGCACGGAGGGCGCACTCCAGCTCAGGTCTGCGTTATCGGCTATGAGAGGTTACATTTACAATAACGTGGGCCACCCCAGCACCGCGATTCGCAAGCGTGCCATCTGAATGACGACAGATTGGGGAAAGAAGAGAGTTGCCAAGCGGGAACTCAATCGCCGGGCTTCATCCGTATGGTTGTCCCCCTTTAGCCTTTTCCCGAAATGAGATGATGGGAACGGGCAGTGCAGCGAACAAACATTGGACGTTGCAATATTGCAGTCCAACCAAGGACGGATATATTACTTTTGGGGTGTGTTGGTTCATATGCCGTGACACAGTGATCGAGGATCGCGTCTCTCGCCAACATCAGATCATCTCAAGGCAAGATGAATAGGGGCAGCTAGGTCTAGCTAATAATAATCAAGCATGATAACTGCCCGGTACCAAAGTTTCTTCTCCCTCTTGCCATCTCGTCACGTCGCGGGGTTGCATCGCATAACAGAGGACGCATCACACACACCCAACTTGAGAAGAGGATGAGATGCGCCCTGGATGCCGCTTTGCCGACGGCCGGGTCAGACGCACGCAGACGAAAACGGCATTCATCCAGATCCATCCTCCCCTCTCAAAATGGTAGGGATGAAACATGCCAAATCTCCTGTGCCTTGATTTCTGCATCTGCCAACAATGGGCAAGCGTGACAAGGTCAAGGAAAGGCCATTCCGCTAGAGCTTAGAGACTAGAGAGAGCCTAGACTCCCGTCGTAAATCTGAGTTTGGCCCAATTGCCGTGGGCAGACGGGACCACGAACCACGCGATCGAGTTCGGGGAAAGGCCGCTATGGGGACGACGGATGGGTCACTCTGGAGTCTGCGGATACTGAGCTATAATTTGCTCGATCAGTGTACCGGCTGGTTTTTCTATGAGTAAGGTGCCACATCCGCAGTTACTTCGTTCATCAGGGATCTGACGGATGAAGTTAAAAGAGCCGGACCATTCGAGTCCATCCGCTACTTCCCCCCCGTGGAGCAAACAAACATGGCAAGGAAGAGGTTGTTGGCAAAGTTGGCACGTTGACAGTTGGTTCCTGCAGTGGCTCGAATGCTAAAGAGATTTTAGGTAAACTGGAGCGTGTGGGCTCTCTGATGTACGGCTAAACGTAAATCGACGTGTTATTCAGGGGCGCGAGGGGCACTGTTGGCCCAGCCACACACACCATCTCCCAGGAAAAGAAAAGATGAGCAATGACACACTTTTGCCGCTAGCGTCAACCGTTGGAAGTTAGAACAGCTCAAAGTTAAGCGGCAGCTCGAAGCGACTTTGTTAGCGAGATTTCCATAAAAGACGTTGGTAACCAAGCACTAGCCACACCACTAGCACTAGTGAGTTTGATAAGTCGATCCAAAGAGGCTTTGATATTGCTCCCCTCCCTAATGCGTTGCGGTTGCAGTCGACGGCACAATGAATCGTCCAGGCCATCAACGGGTGCGACGCTGCGGTACCGGCCTCTGCAGTCCGTTTCTGACAGTGACACTTTCCACATTTTGCCCGGCCGGCAAACACGGCGGAGAAGGGTCACAACCAAAGTGGCTGCTAGAGTCGTATTCAACTTCATAACTTTCATAAGCAACTGCACAAAAGAGGTGAGCCATGGTCTCATTGCGCGCCGTGCGTCTATCCGCCAGGTTCATCAAAAAAGAGAATGGCAAATGGGGGCCGAGATCTCCCGTCCGTCCGGCCCTTTCCAACAAGGCCCAGCCCGAAAACTCTGAGCGTTACAGTCTGTGGAGGATTTGTTCCTCGATGGTTGCTCGGGCATAATGGAAAACGGCTGTTTGTGCTATTACTGGATTTAATAGCACATTGCTCATATCATCCCAACGTCACGACGTCACAACGTCATTCCCCTTTGTCGAGTGCGACTACACAGTACACCTTCGGTACCGCCTGATTTACCATCTGTTTTGTGGTGCTCGCAGCTTTGACCGCGTTCCATTCTAGACGAGAGACTCGAGAGCCCCAAGAGAATACATATCTCTTCGTGCTCTTCCCAAATGTTACCCCGGCCGATAGCACGCCTCTTATATCCCACCCTGTCCCACGAGCCCCGTCCCAGAAGCGGCTCCCCGGAGCGGTCCCAATCGAACGATCCAGGCGTCGGAGGTCTGACTGCATTCAGACTGGCACGCCTCACCATCTCAAACGGCAATTCAACGTCCACAACCGCATTGGTTAGCCATCATGTCATAGGCAGTCATGAAAGGAGCCGAAATCTCGATTAACAGCAATAGGTAACTTGCATGTCCCTAATTCTCGTTTCCATTATGCCCAAGGCCTTGCCAAAACACCGCGTCGCTACATCTGGGCGCTCTAAAGACTACTCTCATCGTCGTTGCTAATCGTCGCCGTGCCCCCTCCCTCCGCCTCAGCCACAATCTTGGTCCTCACGACCTTGCCCGTGGTATCCAGGTAGATATTGCTAAACGCCTCGAGGCCGGGATACGGCGCGTACACGTACTGCAGCTCAAACTCCTTGACCTGCCCATCAATCGAAATGGTCTTGTTGTGCCCGCTAAACGTCATGTCGCGGCTGTAGAACCCAACCACCTTCCGCCCGCTCTCGTTGCCGCTATTGTCGAGGTAAATGTCAAACAGGCTCCCGTTCTGCGCCAGCACGCGGTTCGTGTGCGTGCGGCCCGAGAAGTCGTTGACCGAGTAGAGGATATTGTGCTCCAGCCGGAACGTGAGGTCGCGCTTCGCTACTGCGGACGCAGCGGCGCTGCTCTCGACGGGATCCGTGACGACGTCGACGGTCTTGTTGACGATGTCGCTGACGGTGTCGCCCAGTGTCGCGATGACGGGGTTCAGGTCGATGCTGGTGAGCACGTCGTCGACCATCTTTACCACGTTCTCTAGGCGCGCCTCGAGCTCGACTTTGGCCGAGACGTTGTAGATGCCCAGCTTGACACGGTCGATGCTGGCGTCCACGCCGGCCTGGAAGTGCAGCAGGTTCAGGACCTTGGCGTCGAGGTTCACTTTGGCGGTGATGTTTTGCACCTCGATGCTGATCTCGCCTACTGACACTGAGGCGTTGAGGTACACGTCCGGGATCGGGTTGAGCGTGTCGATGCCGGTCTTTGTGTTGGCCGTCTCGTAGACGGCTGACTCGTTGTCGCCGCGGCGGTTGAGCTGGTAGCCTACGTAGCCGTCACCCTTTGGCTCGTCTTGAGCGAGCACCAACGTCGAGAGGGTGAGGAGGGCGAGTGCCCTGGTGATGGAGAAGCTCATGCTGAAAAGAGAGTGTAAGAGGCTTTCTTGTCTTGGGTTGCAAAGGAGTGACTATGTTGGCGCTGCAGGCCAATTTGGAGATGGAAAGACGAAGGGAGTAAAAGGGCCGCGAACGAGAGCAAAGGGCTGCAGATCCAAAGATGCTGGGGAAGCAAACGATACAAGTATGGTCTATCTAATGGAGCAGAAGGGATGTGGAGGGGGAAGGGGGGAAAACCAGCGAGTGCCAGATCCGATGACGAGCCAGGCTTCGGGATTGTCACTGCATCAAGAGCACACATCAACTCAATAACCCCCTCCCCTTTCAATATAGGATCCTGGGAGACAGCTGACAAGTTGAGTTTCTTTCTCCTATCCACATTCGAGAGGACCTGGTCTCGTCCTCGGAAGTCTTCTCCGCAGGCGGCGCCCCCGTCGCCCAGCGAATCCCCCGACTGGTCTGCCGTCTCTCCCCCCGTCAAGTGACGCAGTGCTCTCACTTTTATTTCGCGCACGATGCAACATCGCCAACGCTCGCGGGCTCAAGGCATGATAGGATAGTGTATGAGCCGAGACGTCAAATGGAGGAAAAGGGCAATCTCCCAAATGTCCCATCGATCCATGGTCCATCTGAACCCGGGGGAGCCACACAGACATGGAATATTCCAAGGTTTTTCTGGACATGCCCGTCCACATGCAGCCCTTCGGCCCGGTGGCTTGCAGCTTGTCACCTTGTCTCACAAATCAGCAGTCCTCTTTCTCCCCCTATAAGCATCGACATGTTCGATTGCCGGGAAATGGAACTCCATGGGACAAAAGGGGTGTGGGCACCGCCTCTTCGGGACCGCTGCCCATATCCGCCCTAGATATGGAGACCAACGGCCCCATTACACCAGTGCGGATGCTCCATCCCATGTGTGTGTAAGTGACATGGATGATGGTCCTCAACCCATGACACTACCTACGTACCTACATGTAGTCATGTAGACTTAGACTCCGCGTTGAGCAGGGGTGGGAGGGATGGGGAGGTCTGATACTGGGACAGGACGAGGTAAATTGACAACCTTCATCTCCTCCATCTCCTCCTCCCACGATGCCGCCTTATATCCCCCCAGCAAGCCCTCCCATCGCGGCCTCGTCCCCTCTCACAGCTCACCAGCGTTTCCAGTCTCGCTCACCTGGTGCTCCTCGTCCACTCCTTTGACCCAAACCACCTCAACCCAATACACTCCTTTGCAAAAGCCCGTCACCTTTTTAATCACCCAAAATGAGGACCTCCATCATCCCCCTCCTGCTGGCGCTCTTCGTCGCCCTCGTCGCAGCACAAACCCCCACGGCGACAGACAACGCAGAAGCAACCACCTCCGTCGCAGCAGAACAACCCTCCGGAACACCAGAGGCCTCGGGAACACCAACAACACCAACATCCATCGCCGCAAACTCCGGAGGCAACGCCGGCAGCGGCGGCGGCAGCGGCACGACCACCGCCTCAGGAAGCAGCACCACAACCCCGCCCGCAGACGTCTACCTTAAAGTCCCCGAGCTCTCCGTCGGCCGTATCGAGCTCGACGTAGACAACCTCTCCGCCGAAGTGAACCTCGCCGCCGAGGTCGCCAAGCTCGTAACGATCAACGCGGGCGTACAAGTCGGCATCGAAAAGGTAAACATCACCATCGTCGACGTCGAAGCCGAGCTCGAGCTCGTCATCCGTCTCGGCAACCTCGTCGACATCGTCAACCGCACGCTCGCCTCGCTGGATCTGAACCCTCTGCTCATCAACCTCCTCGACACCGTCGGCGACGTCGTCGACGACGTCATTGGTGCCGTGGACGGGCTTCTGGGTTCCATCGTCAACGGCGACTCCAAGATTAACTTCTTGATTGACAACCTGGGAAACATTGTGCAAGAGGTCACCAACGCGGGCGCCACCGCCCTGAGCTCCATCATCGGCAACTACCAGCAGAACATGACCTTCACGGGCTCCCAGCAGGATCTCGGTAACGGGCTGACGCAGAAGACGTACTCGTACGAGCCGCTTAGTTCGTTGGTGAATATCGTCTTCAATACGCTTGGTCAGGTTGTGAGGGCGACTGTGGTTAAGGGTGGCGCATCGGGAAGCGGAAGCTCGTCAGCGAGTGGGACGACCGTCGCGGCAACGACTGCTGCTGCTACGACTGCGGCCCCGGTGACGACAACGGCTGCTGCTAGCACGTAAGCTGGCTGGCGTTGTGGTAGAAGTATTGAGTAGAATGGAATGAACGTTAATACAGCCCGTTACCTGAGAAAAATCGTGAGGCTACAAGCAAGCTTGAATTGCTGTACTTTACAATGATGTTGATCTTCAGACTAACAAAGCTTTCACATTATGAAAACAACATAGCCCTCTCAACCACTTTGACTCAAGCGCAGATCCAAGTCAAATCACGAGACTGTATGAATTTTCAAGGTCAAAGTCATCATCAATTGTTCATTACAATACACAATTATAATTCAACGCCATTTACCGTCCGCATCATCAATCGTCGGATCAGTACGCCAGCTGGCTACTAAGTCCATCAAGCTCACGCGCCCACACGCGGTGTTGAGCAATGGTGTAAAAGAACTGCTCCAAGAACCCCTTGCTGTTCTTGACAATTTCGACAGTTTCCCTTAGGCTCTCTGGCTGAACCGACTTCATCGTGACAACTCCGTAGCTGTCCGCAATATTGCTGTCGCTAGAAAAGGAAACCTCGGGAAGAGAGATGGCAGTCTGGATGAAGTCAACGGCCTCACCGGTGGCAGCAATAGCCTTCAAGTGACCAAAGGCCTCGCGAATCCAGTGGACAGCCCTGCCGTTCTTGGAAAGAGTCTTGATGGAATCGGCCCCGCCGGGCACGAAGATAGCATCGACCATGGTAGATCGGAAGCCTTCAAGGTGGTGGTGAGGGACAATACCGTTTCCGGCCGTCTTGGATGCGCCGGCAGGGAAGACCTCGGAGCGACGTGTGCCAATGATCATCGGCGTAGCCTGTGCTGCTGCGGCAGCACCCTTGATAGCGCCGAACGCGACAGGATCGAAGCCGTCGGCGATGATTATCGCAATGCGACGCGACTTGATGGTGGGTGTCTCGGGCTCAAACTCCAGCTGGCTGAGACCCTTGGCCTTTTTGCCGTGGTTGGGTGTGCTCGCCTTTTCCGGTGAGGTCGCGCCAACCATCTCTGCAACAGCCTGAGCTAAACCCAGGTCGATGTCAGCAAGACGTTGGGCCATGCGCTCGTACACAATGGGATCTTCGCAGTGGTCTAGCTCAAAGGCGAATGCGTTGATGGCGTGCGTCTTTTCGATCGGGGACAGACTGTTGAAGAAGAGCTGAGCTTGGCTGAAGTGATCCTTGAACTTGGCGCTCTTGGTGCGTTGCTTCATGCCCTCCACCTTTTGGGCAAAGTCAACGTAGGCGCCGGAAACCTTGGAGTGATTTGCCGGAGGAACAGCCTCATGGCGGTTGGGCCAGTAGTTGACGTTGCCCTTTGTAATGGTTTGGCGATGTGCGCCGTCGCGGTTGAAGTTCATGACGGGACATACCGGCTTGTTGATGGGCAGTTCCTGCCAGTTGATACCGAGGCGGGTGATTTGGGTATCAAAGTAAGAAAAGTTGCGGCCCTGGAGGAGAGGGTCGTCGGAAAAGCCGATGCCGGGGACAACATGGCTGGTGCAGAAGGCAACCTGCTCGGTCTGGGTGAAATACTCGTCGGGATTCCTGTTCAGCTCCAGCTCGCCAATGTAGCGGATAGGAATCTGCTCCTCGGGCCAGACCTTCGTGGCGTCGAGAATGTCAAAGTCAAAGTCGTGCTCTTTGGACTCGGGGAGAACCTGGATACCGAACTTCCACTTGGGGAAAGCGCCGTTCTCGATGGCCTCAGCGAGATCCTTGCGGTGGAAATCAGGATCTTGACCGGCCAGCTTTAGTGCCTCATCCCATACGAGTGAGTGAACACCAAGCTCGGGGGTGAAGTGGAACTTGACGAAATGCCGTTCGCCCTTGTCGTTGGTGAGGGTGTAGGTGTTGACACCAAACCCCTGCATCATTCTGTACGAGCGAGGGATGGTGCGGTCCGACATTGCCCAGCAGAACATGTGGGTGGCCTCGGTGTGAAGGTACTGGAAATCCCAGAAGTTGTCGTGGGCAGACTGAGCCTGAGGGAACTCGAGTTGGGGCTCGGGTTTGCCTGCGTGGATGACGTCGGGGAACTTCATAGCGTCCTGGATGAAGAAGACGGGGATATTGTTTCCGACCATATCCCAGTTACCCTCCTCGGTGTAGAACTTGACCGCAAAACCGCGGACATCACGTACGGTGTCGGCACTGCCTCTGCTACCGAGGACAGTGGAGAAACGGAGGAAGACGGGGGTCTCGCGGGATGTATCGGTCAAGACGCCGGCATTGGAGACATCTGCGGCGCTTTCGAATAATCTGAAGGCTCCAAAGGCACCTGCTCCTCTGGCGTGGACTACTCGCTCCGGGATTCTCTCATGGTCGAAGCGGTGGATCTGCGCGGGTGTTAATGATGGTCGTGGTTAGACGAAGGAGACCAAGACGAACCTTTTCTCTTGCAATGGCATCTTCCAAAAGCATGGGACCGGTCTTGTCATTGTTAGAGACCCTCAGCCAGTCATCCGTGTTCTCAATCTTTGTGCCAAAATCGGTGGTCATGGGAGCCTTGGGGTTGACCTCGACCATGTTCTCAGCGAGCTGAGCATTTTTCTTGTTTCCTTGGCCCATAATTGCGTTTCCAGCTTTCTTCAGAGTATCGGGGACGATGCTGGACATGATTCAAGGCAGCTAGAAAGACGGCATGTGTCACCGTTGAGAGAGAGAGAAGAGAAAGAAACCAAAACAAGAAAGGGCGAGCCACCACCGAGCCCCCGCCTTTTTAAAGAAAGCTTCGCCATTGGTGTTTCCCATTTCCATGGGTCTGCTTCGACGTCAATTCCTCTATACTCGGGTCTGCCTGACGTCAATCTTGTGCTACCAGTTGGTCGGGAGCAATTCCGAACTCACCTAACCAGGCGGTTCACCTGCCTGTCCCATTGGTGGGACATTCTCCAGAGTCAGAGTGACCAGGCAGGACTGGACAGCTTGCCAGCTATGCCGTGAAGTAGCAGCAGAAGGCTGTAGATATTTCGCCATGTTGATGTCAGAGTTGGCATTGCCGCGTCCCAAAGAAGCTGCGAGCCCCTGGCTACCTGCCCGCTTGCTTGCCGTGCGCGCCGGAGCTGGGGTCCGGAGGGTGGAGAAAGGAGCAGAAGCTCCAGCATCGTGACCAATCACACCATTCGGAATCGGTCAAAAGAGCGGGGCTCTTCCAGCCTGTTAGAGATACGTACCGTTATGCCCCTCCAATGCCCCTCCAATGCCCCTCGATGGCCCAAGCTTCTCTCTCACCGAGCAACGGGTGCATGAGGTTTCTTCGAGATGATTGGGCATTGGGGATGCACTCATCCACGATATTGGTAAAAGGGTGGCCCTCATTCGACCATTTTGTGGTACAAGTGAGATCATTGCCCGGTCATGATTATTGACGCGCTTTGTTGGTTCCCACAGACATCGATTGCTGAGTTGAAGCATCCAAATGGGACAAGTGATGTGGCATAAGGTACTCCAAGCAGCCTGGGGTACCGAATAAGAGACTCCGTCAACTCCAAACTCTTCACTTAAGAGACAGAAGTCATCCACGAGGTGTCACAGATCTTGGTTATTGCCGTCGCTCACTTCGCATCACGCTGGCATGGTTAGACACGTTAATCACTGCGTACGTTGGGTGAAAAGAGATACCCACTGGCCGGCTTCCGGCCGAATGGACTCTAAAATTAGTAGATAATGCCATTCTTATCCCAACGTAACCCAGATTTACCATTAACACCGATGTCTGTCTCAATGAACGCACGCCCTTACACCCATGGCCCGTCCATGGCTCCGAGTTGATCGGATCTGGACTGAGACCACCAGCGAACAGCAGGCAACCCGACGCATAGCTGGCTCCCTGACAAGGACATATTCCGGCATTCAGAGCATCGAACAGCGATCACGAATCTCGTCAATACAGACACTGTCTAATTGTTACTGTATAACTAAGACATCTCTCCTCTGTAAGGGCAGCCTGCCAGGCTTTCAGAGGCAAAGCGACACCATTCTGGATGCTGTTTGGAATGATGTCCAAAATGTGTACCTCAGCATGTATGAGAGCGTAATTTGAGCTCTGCAAAGAGGCGATGTGGTAAAGTGAGATGATCATGGCGGGCAGGACTCGACGGCATGAATAAAGAAGCATCCTTACGGAAGACCGCAAAATGCTTGCCTGAGCAAGGAAATGGGACAGGTGCAATAATGCTTTGGACATGGCCAATTCAGTTGACCTGGTAGGTAACTTTCCGAGTTTCCCGCCAAAACGGTGATGATAATAAGGTGATGAACACCACTTCCATTTGTCTGGTATTCTCATGCTTTGTAAAAAGAATGCAAAAGAATTGGTACCTAGGGTGCCGCTGTGATGTTGCCTCGTGGCGGAATCGAACCGCCGATCTTCTCATGTCACTAGGTACTAGTGAGACGCTATACCACTTAGCCAACAAGGCTTGCTTGAATAAGTTATTGGTAGGGAATATGTAGCGAGGTCGGGGACGTGGATGCGATGGTTGTTGTGTTGTGGAGAGGCATCTTCAAAGTTGACGATGTAAGAAAAGTAGCAGGAGACCACTGCAAAACGATAAAACGAGGCTGAAGGGTGCCACGGAAAGAAACTTTGGCTAGAGTTTAAATTTGCTTGCCTTTGTGGCACGACGTGGCGCGACAAAGGATTTGCTGACGGCGCGGTTGTCTGAGCGCAGATCGCTGCACCACACTCCTGCGGTAGGCGGAAGGGCCTGAATAGACGCAATGAGTGGAGGACAAACAGCTGCGAGAGTTCTAAAGACGGAATTGGGTTGATTCTTGAAATGGAAAACAACCGTGTTTTAAAACAATTATAGTCAAATTGACGAACAGGCAGCAGCAGCAGCAGCAGCAGCTCTGACGGAACCTCAGTTTTGTCCCTTTGACTGACTGCCCATGTTGAATTCACATGGTCGTTGTTTCCTCTACTGACCGCGACACTAACAGATGAGGCGCTTTCTGTGCTCTGGGCCGCGCGGAAAGAGACGCTCGTCTGCTAGGAATAAAGTACTTCGACCCGGACCCACCCCCACCTCGAAATTCTCTCCTTTCCAGCGTCGCAAACCGCAACCCCGCCAAGTATCCCATCGCGCAAACGAGTCGAGAGGGTTAGTCACCGCCCAAACCTCGCTTCCTCTAGAAGACCGACTGAAGAAACCTGCGTTATCCAATTGAGTCTACCCGACCGGAACGGTACATCGGCACAATGGTCTACTACTTTACCTCCAAGGCGGTGGACCCTGCCGCCTTCATCTACGTCGGCAAGGACAAGTTTGAGAGTGCGTTGTCTCCCGGTTATATGAGGATGAGGATGAGGATGAGACGGGGATTGCATAACCTGCATCTTCACGATAATTGAAGAAGGACGAAGACGGAAATGCTGATGACGGAGAGTAGATGAGGAATTAATCAAGTACGGCTGGGAGGAAGACGTCTGGTAAGTCCACTCGCCCATTCTCAAACTCATCACTCACTGACCTCTCGCAGGGTACGTAAAATCTCATCTCACCATCCTCACTATTCACCTCACCTCACATCATCCTCACTCAACATCCCTCACTAACACCACCAAAAGTTCCACGTAGACAAACTCTCCTCCGCTCACATCTACCTCCGCCTCCCGGACCCAAAGGACCCATCCACAACAACGCCCATGACATGGGACGCCATCCCCCAACCCCTCCTCACCGACCTCGCCCAGCTCACAAAAGCAAACTCCATCGAGGGCAACAAAAAGGATAACATCACAATCATCTACACCCCCTGGTCCAACCTCAAAAAGGACGGCAGCATGGCCGTCGGCCAGGTCTCTTTCAAGGACCCGCGTAAAGTGAAAAAGGTGCTCGTCGCGCAGCGCGAGAACCCCATTGTGAACAGGCTCAACAAGACCAAGGTCGAGAAGAAGCCGGATTTGCAGCAGGAGAGGGATGATCGGTTGAAGGAGTTGAGGAAGAGGGATCAGGCTTCTTCTCTTGAGAGGGTTAGTTTCTCTTTTCCATTACTTCATTTATATCTCACGAAGAGATTATGTTAACGACAACATGCAGAAACGAGAAGAGGCCCGCGTCATGCAGGAGCGCAAGGAGAAGAAGTGGCAAAAGGACCACGCGTATGATGATATCTTTACGGAAGAGAACATGGAGGCCACGAGCAACCAGAACCGCGACGAGAACTGGGAGGATGACTTCATGTAGTCTCCCTTCTGTTTGCTCGTCTTACATTTTTCTCTTATAGCGGGAAGCTTTTCTTCCATCGTCAATGCCATTCAGCCTCATCGTCTGCCTCTCCCTCCCTCAAATCAAACAAAGATCATGCGTCATGTTGCTGTGCACACTGATGCCATGAAAAGGACCAAATGGTGTAATGACTTCGCTTCATGCTTCATTAATGCTACATAATCCACCCTACTCAAAAAAATCCAAATGGGGTATTCCAAATACAGGGCGCGGGACGCACCCCGAGGCCCTCAGCCAGTCAGCTGCACATGCCGACGCCCATGCGACTCCTGCCAATGCCCATAGACTCCATCCTGCGTGATAAATCATGATTCTCGCCCGACGAAAATTTTTCCCGCTCCTGTGATGCGCCATCCTGCTTTTTCTTCTCCTGCTCATGGCCAGGCTCCTCCTGTCCCTGGTCTTGGTCCTGACGTTGTTGACCTTCTTCCTTCTTCGTACCGCGTCCTCGGGGAGGGGCGCGCGAGCGGACGAGGACAGGCAGCTCGTCGTCATCCCCCTCTTCAGAAACGACATCCAAATCATCGTCATCCTTGGGATCTAAGAAAGGCGACGAGGAAGGCTCGTCATCTCTATACGTCCCCCCATCTTCTTCCTCATCCTCCTCGTCCCGCCCTTTCAGACTAACAACGGGCTCGCCGCCGGGTAACCCGACCTCGTGTGCCTCAAGAGCCTCCGCAATATCCAGAAGCAATACGTCCATTGGACAAATATACGCAACACGCTTGCGCCCACTCCACGCCAAGACGTGCCCGCAAACACGCCCATGGGCGCGCTCCACGACCCAGGCGCCGCTATCTCCGGGGATGCCCATGGGTTGCCTCTTGCTGCCACCGGTCAACTCGGCGGGCGTCTCGGTGGCGGCACTGCTGACCTGATACGTGTGGCTAGGCGTCGTCCGCCCAAAGATCTTGACGCTCGTCAAAGCGGGCAGGATGAGACCCGTCTGCAGGCCGCTGGTACGCGCCATGCACTGCACCTCCAGGCCAGGCAGCGCGGTGGTCGGCGCGACAGTCATGGGGTGCATAACCTTGCCCTGCTTTGATGGGAACTTCCCGTATGAAGGCGACAGCTGCTTGCTCTGGATTCTGGGTATCGAGTTGTCCTCGGGTAGCCTCTCCTCGGCGAATTCGAAAAGGGCCCAATCGATTTCGTGGATGAGTCCGTTCTGCTCCCTCCTTTTGATGCCGCTCGATGCATAAACCTCGCCCACGGTAAAGCTGTCCAAATGATCTTCGTTTGCCGTCTCCGCCGAAGCATAAAACTCCTCGTCGACGTCATCCATGGCGGGCTGCGTGATGATGTATCCGTCGCCACAGCCCGGCTCAACACCGGGGATATCGCCGGGTTGATCGTATTCGCCTTCCGACTCGTCACCACTGTCCTCCTCATCTGACGCATCGCTAGTGACATCCGTCTCAGAATACGCTTCGGATTCTTCTGATTCCGAAAACTCGCAAGCATAGTCTTCACCGCCGCTGCTTTCGGCCGACGACTCTGCGTACCAGTCGAAACGAATGTCTTCGGCATCTCTCGCCATACTACGCATCGTTGGATCCTGAGCTTTCGTATGCTTGTAGATCTCCTCGGGGTCGTCCAGCATGTGGTGAACCGTCATGCCATACGGCTTGTCGTCGACTACAACGAGGCCGCCCAAGCTAACGGGCGGCAGGTGGCGGTCCCCCACCCAAGCTCCGATACTCGCGCCGTTGCTTGGGCGCGCTTGAAAATCAGGGTTAGCCGCCTTGACTGCGCCGTCATCATCGTCGTCGTCCTGTGCTGCGCTTCGTTTGGGGTCGCCAGCTTGCTTTCGTGATCTAAGAACCTGTCCCTTGCAAACCTTCAAGCCGAACCCAGACTTGCCTTCGAAAAGCTCGCCCAACTTGCGCGTCAGGATGGCCTTGACCTTGCTGACAGACGTGCACACCACCAGAACGGTCGGCTGTGTTCTTGTTGGTGAACTGCCAATGGACTCGAGGGAAACTTCGACAGACTCCTCGCGGTGTTTGCGGTAAAAGTGACGCAGTGCTTGGTTGACTTGAGGCATCACCAATGTGTTCCACTTCTCCACTGCATCGGGAGGCAAGGGGATCTGCGGGTAGAGGCGGGTCTTTGGAGACGGTGCCTTGGCAGGCTTTGACCCAGCAGGGAGCTCCACCGGGCCGGCTGTGATGTTGTTAGTGACCGCAAGATGCAATCCGCGATGCAGTAACTTACTTTGAGCCTCTTGCCTGGCAAGCTGCCGCTTCTCCTCTGCAGCAGAGGGGTAAGAACGGCGCGCGGAGCTGGGTTCCGAGATGGGAGTCTTGGTATCAACCGAGGAGCGGCGAGTATCGACGGATGGTCGGGTCGCCACCACCTTGGTCTCTTTTGAGGGTCCCGAGATGCTCTGGCGAGTGGGTGTGCTGATGGGGGACACGGAAGTCTTCTTTCCAAGGTCGAGGTTGAGGCGATCTTCGAGGGAACTAATGTTGTCTAGGATTGCGCACGAGTCGAGGTAGCGTGTCACGCTGACCTGCACAGCCGAGAGAAGCTCCTCATCGGAGGTACCTCCTTGAAGTGACATATCAACCGCTGTCCAGCAAGTCTCTACAGCCCTCTTGTAAAGGGTAGAGCAACGAATTCCCAGCTGGTTTAACACTGACTCGGGAATTGGCTGAGAAGGGTCGGGCACGAGGTTGTCAAGCTTCGTCCAAAGACCGATAGACAACAAAACCATGGCGAGAGAGTACAGATCGAGAATACGAGAGTCCATTTTGTCGTTGATGGGCGATGCCGGAGTGGTGCGAGGGTCCAGGGGGTGTCGGAAAAGGGGCAACGATGGCGAGACTGGTTCATCATCTGACGGAGCGTCGGGGAACAGATCAAAGGATGAGATAAGAGGCCGGCGAATGTCCACCTCGCCGGGACCCGTTGTCAAGTCGGGTGTAGACATGTTGCAGAAAGATACGTTCTTGTCGATTATGCAGCCGTGGGTAATACCCCGGGCGTGCAAGTCGAATACGGTGTTGACAAGGTTGGAAGCCAAGCGATACTTGGCCTCCAAGGTCGGCTCAAAGTCTGGTCGCGACAACAGATCGGCGAGCGTGCAGACATTGTAGAGAGGGTTTTGCGTAAAGTTTTCAAAAGAGACGGCGTTGAAGTTGGGCGGGAAGTGATAGACGAGTCCAAGACGGGCGTGCTCCAAATCCTCGAAATATCCCAGCAGTCTCGGCAGACCGATCCAAGTACCCGGGGCCCTCTGCGAGTCCTGCTGCAAGCCGGCTGAAAGCTTCTCAAAGCGCGACATGGGAGGCATGATACCCGTGATGGCGTACATGGAATCGAACGTTGCAAATTCCAACAAGAGCGGTGCAAAGGGTTGGCGGCCAATGTGTTGCGACAGATCTGACCAGGCCTGCTTGCTCATGAAGACGATATCGCGCGGCGGAAGATTAGCCTTCGACTCTGTCATGGGCTCAGCCTGCATGGACCGAATATCTGTTAATGTTGTCGGGTCAATTTCTTGAGGCGTCTGCATCCTGGTGGACTCAAAAGGCCGCAGCTCCTCGGTGGAAGCCATGGACTTTTCAAGCTTGGAACGCGACGACATCTGGGCAGATGAGCGTGTTCTAGAAAGGTCGTAGAGTGTATCGACAGACTGAGTGAGGTCTCCAATGGCATCTGCGAATACTGCCTTGTCCCAAGTCACAAAGGCGGTCTTGCGATCTGCCGACTTTTCGGAGACGGTGCCTAGTGGGTTGGTGTAGCTCTTCCACAAGGCGTCCAATTCTGACAGCGTTTCTCGAACAGTCGAAAGGATGCTGTGAACAACCTCACTCAGACCGGCTTTTGATAGTGAGCTATCAATCTCATCTGACTGGTTAGGATCTGTCCACTCGATACCCCAGGTCGATACGCGGTCCTTTTGGATACGAAGCTTTCTGAACAGTGACTTGATTTCAGGGTCCTCGGGGGCCTTGACTGGTTCCTGAACAAAGTCTGAAGACTTCTTTGTGTCATTGTACAGACGACTCAGGCGCCGCTGCATGTAGCCGCCTGTTGAGCGAATACCCTCCATGTTGGCGATTGAAACACTGTGCAGGTTAAGGACAAAGAGGTGAGCCCCTCACCAGCGAGGCGGGGGTGAGATGAGAGGGAGTCGAAGCCAGAGCAAGTGAGCGCAGCTCGTGAGAATTAGATACTATGTCTACGAGTAGCTCTTCACAGTAACATAATCGGAGGCTGTGTTGGCAAGGCGGCTCTAGAAAGTACCGGAGGTGGTGATGAGAAGTCGGGACTCGGGGGTCGGCGCTGTGAATATCGGAAGCGGGTGAGCCAGGTTGTGCGGGCGGCGGGGCTCAATTGGCGGGTGAAGTGCGACTGTGAGTGGTCGTTGGACGTGGACGGGGGTACGTATACAGCAGTCCGCAGCGCAGAGAAGCTGAAGTGAGAGATTACGCGGCTAGAACTGCTTGCGTAAGTACGTATGTGATTGATGTGATAATAATAGATGGTTCCAACACTCTTTTGGCTTGTTGGTTTGAATATTCGTGAGATGGCCAGCCGTGTTGGTGAACTAAAAGGAAGCAAGCAAGCAAAACAAGTGCGAAGCAGGAAAGTAAAAGAGGGAAGAAGATTGCATCCAACACTCGTGGGCCCCGTCGTGGTCATCAAGGAAGTCCAAGAACGTAGGCAGGTAGAATATGGGCGCCAGCGAGTGGATGGAGGCCGAGGGGTGCTAAGGTATGGTAGGGGACCAGGTGCGACCAAAGATCCAACCTAAGCCAAGCAGAGACCCGAGACTGCGGGAAGAAGGATTGGATTATTTCGGTGCCTACAGACCACAGTTTAGGTACGGACGGTCTTTACCCTTTCCTGTCGATAATCCCATCAGGTAGGTATCCGTCCACACTATCCGTACTCCGTTCTCCGTACCTACACCGTTCGGACGGGCCCTGTCACTGCCTGCTCGGGAGGGACAGCGAATGGAATACTGGTGCGGATACTGGGAGGCGGGACTGGGTTGGCTGGCTGGACGGTGGTTCAGATTGTGGCTTGATGTTGGTGATGGCGATGCCGTCGGGTGGATGTTGATGAGATGAGGAATTGGGGCCCCCGCCAATTGTGTCGTGTGAAAATGTGCGACATTCGATTGCGATGCGCTGCGCTGCGACGGAAGGTGCGCGCGGGCTGCTTGCTGTGTCACTCCTGCCGATTGCTGGCTGGCTGGAAATGCTGCTGCCTGAAGGAGGAGGAGCGCCTTTGGAACTCGCTTGCCTCGCTTGTCTCGCTCGTTTCGGCCAGCCCCATAAATATGGAGACATCAATTGGCCAGAAGAATCCTGGAGCCTGCGATGTGGGCCCCTCCCGGGCAATCGGGGCTGAACTTGCCGGGGGAGGCAAGAGTAGGTAAGGTACGTATTTTTTGTACCTCAACCTTCCTTTCCAATGCCATCAACATCCTATCAGTCCTCTCACCCATGAACATTCACTCAGATTGCATTGACAGAACTGAATCAACATGGAGAGTCAATACATCTGGATCTTGGCACTCGAAAGTACGAGAGCACCATTCAGGAAGCACATATTCTTAGGCCCACTACTTTCCCTCACCAAGACACGTTGGGCGATCACCTCGAATTAGGTTCTCATATGCTCGTTCTCGAATAGCGAAAGAGGAAAACGCAGAGTCCAGCACGTCTTTGCCCAGTTTGTCCCAGGTATATACGATACTCCGTATTGACTCCCCCGTTTCCCCTCCCAATGGGCATCTCTTACATGGCAATCCACTTGTCCATAAGATACGGATACGCTACGTCTGATCAGCACGCACATCCTCGGGAACCGCATCAAACTAAGGCTCGGACTACTTAGCCCTCCACTAACGCCCGACGTTGGCTGCTTTCTCATCAGCCATCAGCATCCTCCACACTGAAGCATGAGTAAGCTGAGGCTCGTTTTACCGTTTTAGCGTCTCCTCATCCTGGCTAGCATCCCAAGAATCACCAAGCAGGCCAACAGCGTAGAAGAGAGCTGAGCGACTAGCGGACAGCGGACCGCTACCTGTGCTAACCCTGCCGCCATCGACGGCTGCCTTGCCTAGTTTTGCTGTGCTCTCACACAATCCTCGTTCTCTCTTTCGCTCTAGTGTACGAGGACCCCATACAGAGTATGGGTATTACCGCAGACTATTGCTGGGCGTCTGAACGGAGTCAGTGTCCGTCATGCATGGATCAAGGCACTTCAGTCTTCGACACCAAACTCACCTTACCTGCTTTGGGTACCCGATGGACCAGACGACCAGGCCTAGAATACACGTACCAACAGATCGTGGAGGTTTGGACTGGGGACCTGTCACTGACTTTCTTGGCATCCAGGCACATTGAGGCGTGTCCCCTTCCCTCGTCACGGGCTTAAGTTCCTCCTATTATTGGAAGACAACTTCCAGATGGGATATTGAGTATCCGTTCCAAATATCCGCAATACCTTACAGACAGACCATTCAACCTGACAGGCAGCGGCTCCCGTACAGAAGTCCATTTCACCACGGCACTTGGCGCTGCCCTTCAGTCCTTAGGTTCCGCTCCCTGGATCGTTGTTGGTGTCCTCCTCTTTTTTTTTATCTGGCTGCCTAAACACTAAAAACCTCGTCGAGTGAGAGGCATCCACATTATCTCCGACACCACTACCGCAGACTGCAGTAATCGCCTTTTCATATCCACATCGCGGCACCCGGCAGCTTTAATTGCCCATTCATCCCCGGCTGGAATGACAGACTTTCGTCAAGGGGCCCCCTCCTCTTCGAGTCCTCAGACTCCCTGGAGAGGGGCTGTCGTACTGACTACGAACACTCGTACTCTGGAAAGATCCGTCACTAGCTCACCTCGCGGTTGCCGCAGCAGGGTTAGCCCAGAGACTGACAGGAGCCATCAACACATTGACGACACAATCTTCTGCTCGCCCTGCTCGTCATGTCGGTAGCCTCTCAAGACGACGGTAGATCCTCATACATCAAGAAACTTCCCGTGGAACGATTCCATTGTCTTCTCAAGCTGTCTCATCTCCAAGTTCTAGGGCACAGAAAGAGAGACACGTCGGGGTCCACGATACTCTCGGTCCGACTCTCAAGCACCACAAACGCGGGGCAAGAAGGAAAAAAGGTGTTGGAAATAATTCTGCTGCCTGCTCGGCGGTCGGATGTGAGACTGCAACTTGCACGTAAATGACTGCAAACTCCATACACCCTATGTGAACGGACGAATCCAGAGGCTCCCCGCTTGCCCCATTCATTCGCTTCTGCAAGGTCAGCATGGGGACCTGGCTCGCGCCATATCTACATGTAATGCCTTGACTCCGATTGATGGTCAAGATCAAGTCACGATGGTGGAAGTTTGGTTTTGGAAGTGATTCAGTATCGTCGTTTTTGTGATCCTCGTAAAGTTCTCGGTCTTCTTGACCAGAAAATGTCAACTTCAGACTTTCTGAATCAAACTATGATGACCCTGAGCTTTGAAGGCATAACTCTGCAAGCCAAGAGGCTAACCATCATACCCGTCCACCTCCCAAAAGCCATCCCAAGTCAAACTGGTCCTTTATTTGATTATTTCTATAACATCTGAAGCGTGATTCTCGCCATGGCGGTGTGTGTCAAGACACAGGACCCGTCTCACGACAACGCTCACTATCTCGCTGCCTTGTGTTGAGTAACAAGGGACTCCATCACGGCTTGTAAGCTGTCACGAATTTGCTGTAGGTCACGCATATGTTCCAATGACCACCCCCTCACGGGTTCTGTACCACTTCCGCGGCGGAAAGGCCAAGCGTTGATACGCTCCAAGCTGGCTGGCTGTCCAGGGGATTCTCCAACTCAAACCCGGAAGCAGGTCTGGGCCGCGGCCAGAACGTAAGTTGGTGCTCGAGCTATGTGAAATATGATAGGCCAAAGATCCAGGCAGTGAAGAATGGCTAGTATCCATTGATCGAGATTCGCGGTGGAGGGATGTCAGTGGTAAGAGGCTACCTACTAGATGCCGTGCAAACTTGTTAAGAAGCAGGCCAAAGATATTTGCTTGAAAGGGGCATGGTCAATCATTCGACAGATACATTGCAGTCCAAGTGTTTTCTGTGGACCATTGATCAACTTCTCCATTCAGGAAACTGAGTACCAAAACATTCTAACTGTGCAGATTGGTGCCTTGGACGAGGCTGAGAATTCAACGGATAATACCTACGCCGATTCCTGATGGGCGGGCGGTGGGGGCAAGGTGATGGTGGTGAGAAGCATCACAAACCCTTGACCCTGAGAGACAGGACGATGCATTTGGATGCCACTCCTGTGAAAGTCGCTTCGAATGACGTGAATAAAATTGGATGTAGCTCCATCACGGCTGTCGTACCATTAATGCAAGGAGTTAACACTCGAAACGAATCTCGTGTATGATGTTTCGATTCGCCACTATGAGGCATCTTGATTTGCTCGCTGTTGCCCTCTTCCATGCGAGAAAAAGCCAGCGCCATCCAAGATCCACGGCTGGCCGCCTCTTGAGACCCCTGAACAGAAACCAAGAGGACGATCAAAAGCTCGAAACATGCCCAATTTTAGGGCGACTTACGAAAGAGCCAACTTCCGAGGAGAGTATTCAATAACCCCCAGGTGTCATAGATGCATGGGAGTGTTTCCACGACAGAAACACACGAGACTCACCTCCGCCACTCATGGAAACGGAATAACTTTCTCAAAGCCATACTCGATATCGTTGTAGCAACATGCGATCTCGAGTGACAGATGGAGCAATTGGCCTTGTCATAAAGAGTATGAAGACGGCGCGCGGGACGGGCGATTTATGTATTGACATAATCTTGTGAAGACTTCCAATTTAGAAACGACTGAAAGACTATAAAATGACCCCCTTCCTCTGACATGACCCTCGCCACAGCCCTGAATCTTCCCAACCGAAGCCACTCCATGCATATCGTCGTGACGGTATACCTAGACTTCACCTGCAGCCGTAGCCACCATCCACGATAACTTACCCAACACCAACACACTTTGAGGAAAGAGGGGGCTTGTAGACTTGG